TATTTTTTAATAGATAATAAAAAATACCTAAATACCAGACACAATCATTGCATGTTTTTAGCCTACTAAAGACTCAAAACTTTTTAAAAAGGACATTGCAGAGTATCATAGTGTTAAAGATGAAAATAATTATGGAATGATATTTTTTCTTTTTCTTTCTTCTCTTTTTTTGTTTGTTCAACAGGCCGCCAAAAATATTAAAATATCAGTCAATACCATTGCATGTTTTTAACATAATAAAGACTCATTACTTTTTAAACAAGACGATGTAAAGCGTCATGTTGGTAAAGATGAAAATGGAGATGGAATGAGATCCGTTGGAAAGTGGTCCTTTCATAATTAGATGACACTCTTGGAAAATATATAATTTTTGATATGTTGCTTTTAGAAGTATTGCTTTTTTTCTGATATATTTTTTAATAATGGCACAAATACTTTTCCGTTTTATCTTATTTATAAACAAAACTAATATTTTTTATACACCATCATTTTTTTTTCCTTATCTGTTGAAATTATATAGTCATATTTAACGTAAAAAAGCATAGGATAATTTAATTCTAATTTGCTCACCGTGCAACGCACGGGTAAAACACTAGTAACATTGAATAAATAATTATTCATACCACAATTATTTAGAACAAACTATAATCTTCTAGACAGTTTATTAGGTCGGCCAATATACGAAAATTACGGAAAAATCCTTTTTCAGTTGAACTAGGAAAAACCCGCAAATTATGCCCGAGCTCCAAAGACTTTGTCATCGACCGACAATGTTCTCGACAATCAACCGTCAAGTTTATTGTTGACATCTTCTTCTTGGCCAGAATGATGACACGAACTTGTCAACTTTCTCATATATTCTTTGCTTGGTCATAAGGTCGACGTGATCCTGTTGACTTCATTGTCAACTTGATTCTAGCTTGTCGCGTACCATATTTTGATTTCAATCTTTCATCTTCCTTCATTCCAGTATTAACATGATTCTATCCAACCATGATGTGATCAATAGTAACATAATGATCGTCATGGTTAGGAATAACTCTTAGCGGCCCGTTTATGATCACATCATTTCGATTAAAGGTTTCCAATAAAAACATTAATGTTTTAGGGGAGTAAACGGATTGTGAGAGGAAATGGTGTGAGGAAGACTATGAGGGTATAGGGAATCCTGGTGGTGGAGGGGCTAAAAATATTCAATAAGGGATGGGATTAAATTAATCGAATTAATGGAGTTTGGTGTAATATATTTTTATGAAGCTCTTCCATGGCGTATTTTGGGCAATAACAGGTTGGGAAAAGTCAATTTTTGATGATTGAAAGAGAATTCATACTAAGGATTAAAAACATGAATGGAGTAAGATAAGGTAATGGAAGAAATTTATTGTTTAACTTATTAAGAACAAGTTTGGAAACAAAACAATAATTTGCTTTTGCGGCTAACTTTTGTGTTGATGATAATACCACTACCCATATGGGTAGTTCATGACAATAAAAAAACGTGAAACCAGTGATAGTGTTTGTTATACTCGATGACAGTAAAATTACGCAAGCATTGGTAGCCTCAAATCCATTCTTGCCTCCTTCACATCCTCAATACAAAAAAACTTGTTATTTATATATGATTAATAAATCCTTTGTACTCTAATATCCCTCTTCTTTTCCATCGATCCCCTACCTTCCTTTTTTCCAGCCATGAAATCTCCTTCAAGTTGATTCCAATTTCTAGTTTTATGACTCAAAGTATAAACTTTTTCCTCTGTTTTCTCTTTGTTCCCGTCTCAAATTATTCTCGGAGGAGATCAAAACTGCCAAGAAACTCCCGATACATGTTTTGGTTGTTCTCCTGTGGTTTGTTTTATTTTATTTTTCTTATTTTTTTAATTTTTGCGTCATTTCACAGTAGATGTGGACGAATGATTTGGGTGGATCTTTCTTCTCCTTTTGCACCCATGGCTGCTCAAATTGAGAGGGAACAGTGGAGATGACAAAGGAGGGATATCTTTTCCTCTTTTTAGTAATTTTCTTTTGAATTCATTTAAAAAAATTATTTTATTCAAAAGGTTATAATTATATTCTGGTCAATTTTACCGCTATAGTTCAATTTAACAAACAATAAAAATCATAATGATATTCCTTCCATAATTGGAACCACACAACAACATTAATCAAATTAAACATTCATTGTCATTAGTGAGTCCGTTCAGTGCACCCGGGTGTACCATATATCCCCCACCAAACACACGCGCACCACACGCTCAATTGTTTTTACCTTTACATTAAATGCACACAGAAAATTGTTTTCATCCATTTCTTCCTCATGCATAAACACACACAAACAGACAGTCGACGGAAACTCTCCATTTTAGGGCAAATACAACATTGACCACCACCACAAAATTACACAAAATCGATGGAAAACCTACGGTGGAAGACGATTTTGATAACTTTATCTTCTCTTGCGTTTTTTCCTTTTGTCAGTTTGTTCTTTCACAAACCCACACACACACACAGACGACGGCGAGAAACCCTACGTCCGGCCATCTCAAGCTCTCCTTCATCTATACATGCTTCACTGGTAAGTATATTACTCCGAGATCCTATTTTTTTGATTATCCAGCAATATTTTGTGTGTATCCACTAGATCTGAACTAGTTATCCATGATTTCCTGTGTATGCTATGTGATCGTTGTCCATGCCATAATCTCTGGTTATCCATCTATTTCATACTGACATTTGTTATCCACCTATTTCATTCTGGTTATCCACAAGTTGTAAACTCGTTATCCATGCTTTTTTTACATTTTATTCTATGTGGCATGGACAAACTAAATTGGTTATCCATATTTTTGTGTTTTTTTGTTACTGGCTTAGGGTTTAGGGTTTAGGGTTTAGGGGTGCTTGTCCAAACTTTGTTTCTGGTTATCCATTCATTTTATAATTGTTATCCGCATGGTGTAAACTAGTTATACATTGTTTTTTTTAGATGTGCTTTTACGTGGCTACGTCCACACATTATTTGCTGGTTATCCACCCAATTCATACTGGTTATCCACAAGTGGTAAACTGGTTATCCACAAGTTGTAAACTGGTTATCCATGCTTTTTTTTACATTTGATTCTATGTGGCATGGACAAACTGAACTGGTTATCCACTATATATCTGAACTGGTTATCCAAGTTTTCCTGCGTGTGTGCTATGGGGTGCTTGTCCAAACTTTGTTTCTGGTTATCCACCCATTTTAAATTGGTTATCCGCAGTGAGTAAACTGGTTATCCATTGTTTTTTTTTAGATGTGCTTTTATCTGGCTACATGTCCATACATTATTTGCTGGTTATCCACCCATTTCATATTAGTTACTCCTTTTTTGATTACTACTCCTTTTCATATCCTGCTATTTTGTCCACTGACTTCTTAGTGATTGTGCAATGCCAACAGTACCCTAAAGGAGGCTAGAACAAAATATAGGCACGAGTGGATCAGCGCAAGCCACGACCTCAACTGCAACCCAGACAGATCACCGGATCCTGAACTAGAGAAAATAATGGAGCTCCCTGAAGGAACACTGACCATATTTAAAAAACAAAAATAAACCCAAGAAGAACAGTCCCCTGTTCAAACTCCAAGGCCCCACAACTTGTGGAGGAAACCAAAGAGGAAGAAGAGCACACCGACAGGAAATCCAAAGCAACTTGTTGTTGCTGATGACAATGATGATAAAAAGCCCAAAAAGAAAAGAACGAAACCTGAGAACAACAAACTGATAATTGGTCAAGATCCACAGCCAATGAGTTCTAAAGATTCTGTCAAGAAATTTGAAACCAGGATGACACCAAACCATCTCCTCCAACTCATCACTGAAATCAATAAACCAACAGATCTTAAGGTAGAGCCAGATGCGATAGATTATCACCAACTACAAAGGCAGGCTATCAGAGATATCGGATTTGGCGCCTTGCAGGATCTCAAAATAAAAAATATTCCAATAGCCTTATGTAGTTTTCTGGCAAATAATTTCCAGACCGGTGCAAGACAAGTCCCATTGAATGGGAACAATGTATTGGATATCAAACAGGAAGATGTTATTACTGTACTTGATCTTCCTCGTGGACCCAAACCAGTGGAAGAATTCAAACAGAATGATCCCGCTATAACGGACCACGCTGAGATGGTGGATGCATTCAAGAAAAGAATGGGATACAGTAATAAATTTCTGCCAACGAGATCCACCGCGGCACAATTAATTGCTGGTCGAAAAGATTTTGGTGATGACTTCAAACGAGATTTCCTAGTCTTCGTTGTGAGCACATTCCTACATGAAAACACCACTTCCAGAATCACAATGAACATCCTGAAGTCCCTCGTGAACATCAATGAAGTGACACAATACAATTGGTATCAATATGTGATTGATGCACTGGTGAAAGGATGCAAAAGTCACCACGATGGGAAACCATTCACCGGAGCAATCACTTTTTTCCTGGTACTTACCATATCCGTACAAATTTTACTAGTTATCCATATTGCTTGCAATATTTATCCAATTTGCTTGTACTGATATCATTAACACTAACTTTTTTTCATTTTTTTTTTGTTAGTTGTGCTACCTTGACAAGTGTGAGTATGAGAGAGCACATCCGAGGTCATTCCCCGTGATCAAATCTTGGGATCAAAAGATGCTGGACGACAGAATAAGACTTCAGGGAAGCAATTTCACAGATGTCCAGACACTTGAACGTCTCAAGAAACCGTCCTCAGCAGCATTCCGAGATGAACAACCAGAGGCTGAATCACAGGAGGATACATAGGAAAACCCCAACACACAGCAAGTCTATGTATTGTTCTACCATTTTTTTTCAGATCAAACTTACGTATTCAACCTAGCATCTCCACATTCCACTAACTACATTCACTTCTACAGGACCTTGCTGCTCTTTATGAAAAATTCTACCAATTGATTATCACAATGAGCAAAACTATTGTAGACATTTGTGAGAAGGAAATGGAGTTAAAAATCGAACCAGATGAACAAGCAAAGCAAACAATCAAGATCCTAACAGATGCAATGGTGTCGATGAGTAGAAAGATACCTCCGCCTTCAGGTAGAACGCAACAGGAACAAGACCAGCAGCAAGACCAGCAAGACCTCCAGGATGCACAGATTTGTGAATTGTGCGAGATGGCATGGAAGTCCACTGAAAATAGATTTGCAACAATCATAGAACAGCTGCAACGACAAGTAGCTGACTAACAACAACACCAACAAACTGATGACAACACTGTACAAGCTCCAATTAATCCCACAAATTTTCAAGACATTGAAATTGACAAAGCCCAAGGACTGGAGCAATTGAGCCAGACAAATGATGAGGCTTCTCTTCTAGTGGGGAAATCCGTGCCTACTTCAAAAGAAGTGGTGGTTGATGAACAACAAACTCAACCACAAGGGGCACAGGGACTGGATCAATTGAGCCAGACAAATGATGAGGCTTCTGTTCCAGTGGGGAAATCCATGCCTACTTCAAAAGAAGTGGTGGTTGATGAACAATAAACTCAACCACAAGGTAATGAATATTTTTTTTAATGAAACAAATACTTGTCTGGTGTGATTGTACTTGTCATCCAACTAATTTGTATTGCTTATCCAACCCCTTTTTTCCCTTTAAATGGTTATCCATTGTGTTCCTGCCGATTATCCAGCTTGTTTGAACTGATTATCCACTTCGTTTGAACTGGTTATCCAATCTTTCTAATTTGTATTGCTTATCCAACCCCTTTTTTCCCTTTAAATGGTTATCCATTGTGTTCCTGCCGATTATCCAGCCTGTTTGAACTGATTATCCACTTCGTTTGAACTGGTTATCCAATCTGTCTAATTTGTACTGCTTATCCAACCCTTTTTTTTTTCCTTTAAATGGTTATCCATTGTATTCCTGCCGATTATCCAGCCTATTTGAATTGATTATCCACTTCGTGTGAACTGGTTATCCAATCTGTCTAATTTGTACTGCTTATCCAACCCCTTTTTTCTCTTTAAATGGTTATCCATTGTGTTCTCGCCGATTATCCGGCCTGCTTGAACTGATTATCCACATCGTTTGAACTGGTTATCCAATGTGTCTAATATATACGTATGTTCGTACTGATTATCCAACATTCCAACTTTGTACTGCAGCACATAGAACGAATATCTCCACAACAAAAAAAAAGAGATCCCATCAACATTCCACCGGCCGGGATTCAAGTGTGACATCCACCTATACCAAAAGGTCGAGAAGCACTGGTACCAGGAAAAGGAAAGTATTCAAAGACCCAACTATCCCACACTTTAACCTGGGTATCTTCTCCAGTCAGGAAGACAGTTACGAGACAACCCAGGAGAAGAACCTCAGGAAGATATCACAGGAAGTGTTGATTTGGATAAAGATGTCAACGAGACTATAGAAGCAGAAGAATATCCAATACCATCTGCACTCGACGAAACAAAGAATCCCACTCCTTCCATCGATGAAATCATAAGAAGGGCCAGTGCACCAGCTTCAGAATCATTAAGTGATACCAAAAAACTAAAGATGATTGCGGCTGTTGCAGAACAAGTTGAGAAAAACCCAAAGGTAGTTGAAGCAGTCCCTTTAAGCATAATTCCGCCCGATTGGAATATTGCTTCTACCACGGGTGGTCTACTCATGCTGGACAAAAATGAGTGTACCATGCCACCGCCTGCAATCTCAAAGAAAGCTGATGTACTTGATGAAGGGTTAACAAAGACAGTGGAAAACTAAGTTTGATCCACTGTGACTCCTCACTACAAAATAGAAAGATGAATGTACATACTAACTCTCTTTTGTTTTGTCCTAGGATCCTCAATGAAAAACCTAAGAGGAGAAATCCACCAAGAGTCCACCAGTTGCCCGAACGGTTCAGGTCGCCGTTCATGCTGCAGAAGAAAAACAAGAAAAAATTCATACAGTGGACAGAGGAGAAGAAGAAAATGACCCAAGAAGAAGCCCTGTTGATAGACTTCACTCTCTTGCAGAGACAAGAAGAAATAGTTAAATTAGGGTAAAAGTCACCATCCTTACCCGTGGGATAAAAAACTTACCAGTTTTCCAACAATTTGTCTATTTGACTACTTTTTCTATGCAGGAATTTCTTGTTTGAATTTGGAAAAATCGTTTGGGCAGACAGGACAGCATTCTATTCCATGAGGGAAGGGACATGGATAGAAAACAGCATCATAGATGCTTGGGCTGTCATCCTAAACAAAGAAGAAGCTAAGAGTGACTCCCCAAGACGGATATTCTTTGGTATTTCCTCATTTGTAAGTTAACTAAACCCTTATTGTTTATCCTGCCCTGGTAAAATACTTGTCACATGTCTGCAAGTTGTTTATACAAAGGCTTTCTACTAGTTATCCAACCATAACGGGTAGTTATCCAGAATGTGTAAACTAATTATCCAGCAATAATTGGTGGTTATCCACAATCTGTAAACTAGTTATCCGGTCATAATTGCTGGTTATCCACAATCTGTAAACTAGTTATCCATGCATTTTTTTAGTTGTGCTTCTATGCGGCTGCGTGTCCATACATTATTTGCTGGTTATCCATCATTGTTGTATAACTTACCTACCTATAAGTAATCATCAGGAAGATCACGCATGACCACTAACACTTATTATCCAATTTGTTACTAATGCTTGTCCACCAGAGATGAACTGGTTATCCAAGCCTTCTATGTGGTGGCTTGTCCATGATTCATTTGCTGGTTATCCATCTATTCTGTACTACTTATTCACAAGATCTGAACTGGTTAACCATTCATTTTTGTTTGTCATCTAGGGTACTTTTGGTCGACCTTGTATGTGCTTGATTCCGATCATTGTTTTCTACTGCATTTTCCAACCATTGTACTGATCATTGTATCATTTTCCAACCACCTCAAACAATAACGCAGGATACAATCAGTTGATACTACCAACCGGGCAGTAGCAAAGACGAAATAGAGTTTACATTCTATGAGAGGTTGGCTATTGAACTACAAGAACAAGGCCTCAGTGTAGCATCTCTGATAGCGGCAAAAGCTGTAAGCAACATCTTTCACCTCCTTCACTCTTTCTATAACTGGCTGTTAAAAAATTTTCATATGATTTCCCCCTTCAATGTGAAAAATCAGATCTACTTTCCAGTACACTACCGAGACCACTACTTCTTGTATGTGTTGTTGGTTGAAGAAAAGAAAGTGCTTGCATTCAACAATCTTCATGCAAAAGATCTGGACTACTACAAGCCAACAAAAGATCTACTTGTGAGTGAAAAAAGATACAAAATGATTGTCATAGTTTAAGAATTATCCATTGCATTTTGCTGATCCTTGGATTTTATGGCATCACAGTTTCGATTCTTCCAAAGCTATGTTGAATGCGTGTTTCCACACATAGAACTGGTCACTGCTCAGTACACCTTGACAGAGGTTACGCTACCATCACACAAGGACAAAACGCCGAATGTGGAAGATTGTGGAATATACACAATGCACCACATGGAGCGGTATAATGGTGGTGAGTACGAGGATGGTACTACTTTGGATTTCAACACAGGAAACATCAAAGAGTACCGGTGGAAATACATGTTAAAAATCCTTATGCACCCATCCAACAAAAATAAGGACAAAATCCTCGAAGCAATGCACCAGTTCTATACAAATACTGCTGAAGAAGAACAAAAAGAAATTCCAGATCATGTTGATTTGAGCAGCAAATCTTACTACAATGACAGAAAAATTCAGGGATGGGTTAAATGAACTGTCATTATGTTCTCTTGTATAATTGATTGACTGCTGATCCTAAAGTGTTTGATATCCAACAGCTATACTGGCTATCCTAATATATTACCCAACCGTTTGTAATGGTTATCCATGATCTTTCTACTAGTTATCTAACCTTTTACACCTGATTATCCGAATGTTTTATAGTGATTATCTAATAAAAAAAATGCAAGTACATTCTTTAACCTGATTATCCAAAAAGACATAACAGAAGAAAATATCCATAAGAAAATAACAAGACAATGTATTTTGGTTGTCCAAATATTTCTGTAAATTCCCAAACAACAAAAACTGAGTGTCCCAATTTTTTGGTCTTTCTACTTCTTTATTAAACTGCTTATCCTATGATGTTATCCTGCTTATCCAATATTTCTTTGCTGATTATCCAATGCTCTGAATTGATTGTCCAGGACTTTTGTACTGGTTATCCAGCCAATGTGCAGCAATATCCAACCTTTTGTAATGGTTATCCAGGATCATTGTACCAGTTATCCAACTTGTTACACCTGATTATCCGAATGTTTTATAGTGATTATCCAGTCAAAAAAAATGCAAGTACAGTCTTTAACCTGATTATCCATGAGATTATACTTGTTATCCAAAACCTCAATATTGTTTATCCATATGTAACCAATGCCTATCCACCATGTGAACATAACAAAACAAGGATTTAGAGAGAGCTTCCAAAAAGACATAACAAAAGAAAATATCCATAAGAAAATGGTAATCCAAACGGCATATTCATTGGGGGGCTTCACCTCCCATGATAAACTAAACGACTCCCGCGGCTATCGGAATCGCAGGTCACCAACCTGCCCCGGCTGCGCCGCCCCGCCGAACACGCCAATGTAGCTAAGGTAATCCTTTTTTTTTGTATGTGTGTAAGGAGAGTGTGTTATTGCGTTAAGAGGGGACACAAATTACTTGTATAAATCCCTCCGTGATAAACTAAACGACCCGGCTGCGCCGCCTTTCGCGGCTGTGCCGCCCCCATGCCGAACATGGTAAATTTCATAAACAGTATTTAAAAATAAATGAGGGGAAGTTTGCCAAATGATGGAGAACAAAAAATGAATGAGGGGCAGGCCGTCTGACTTAACTCGCGGGCCAAACCCGACCCGAGAACGCGACCAGCTTCAGAATCCCGCCCAAATTCTGGCAAACCTGCCCTATTAGTGCGGACGTTTTCCAAACGGCGGCCGGGCAATCATAATTGTTCCTTAGAATCCACCCGAAAACGTCATTCAATCATAATTGAGTGTGTGGGATAGAGAGAAAGGAAAAGGGTTTTCTTTTTATATTGTACCATTCCTTCAACCATTCACCTGCTCTTTCCCTTTTTATGGGTATAAAATTCACTTTGTTTTTATTCTTCATGAAAAATGCTTGTCCATAGTGTCAACACTGGTTATCCAGCTGTGTTTAACTGGTTATCTACTATGTCCATACTGGGTTAACACTGGTTGTCCATTGTGGGAACACTGGTTGTCCATAGTGGGAACACTGGTTATCCACTATGTCCATACTGGTTATCCACAGTGTGGAGCATGTTACTGTGTATAACTGAAAAGCCACACGTTTAATAATTAAATAGAATTTAAAAGATTGAGGGAGTAACAATAAAAAATAAAAAAAAAACTGAAAAGGCTCATGTTTGTGCAGAGTACATCCACCATGATCTAATGGGTAGTTACAGAGCCACACGTTTTTACATGCAATGGATTGAATAAGGAGGATCAGTTACATAACTGTCATTAAATGAGTTTCTTGGTTATAATAATGATGGTTAATGAATAGAGAGTGAGAAGACACTGATTTATGAAAAAAGATAGGACTGCGTGGGTAGTTAATCCGTCAAACTACCTCTCTATAAACTACCTCATCTCCATATACAGCATTTCTATAGAACTCCCTGACATCTCCACATAGAGAATTTCTATAAAACTCCCTCATCTGCACATACACCAGAACGCCTGATTTGAGCATCCAAAACATCCAACAGCCAGAAAAAAATGAAAAACGAAAAAATTTCCTCAAATTCCACAACCAAACAAATGTCCCCCAGCTACGATGAATATATCCATCACGATATACTTGATAATGTTCATTAATCTGTCATTGGAAAAGATTGGTGAGTTCCATCGTGTCAGCAAAGCTTGGGAGAAAATGACGAAAAGACAAGAATTTGTTCTTAAAAAACGTGAGATGAGCTACCCTGCAAGTGAAAACAACATCCTTGTTTTCACTCAAACAAGCCAAGAAGGTCACCTGTTGCAAGACAAACTAATCGCCACCAACATAAAAGTGCAAATGGATAACCCATGCAACCACATACGATTGCAAGAAAAGATGTCGATGGGTGACGACGGCATCTATAAAATCATGCCTATCACCACAGATTTGGTCTGTCTACAAACCAGCTCTCAAATCAAATTCTTGAACCCAAAGACAACACAACTTGCATCAGTTGAATGGCCATATGATGTCCCTCTCAGCAATTGTGGAACAGCATTTGGGTACGTATCATCATCAAAAACTTACGTTTTCATGGCCCTTATTGCCGATGGAAAAAACATGCAAGGCTATATTTTTTCTTTTCAAAGTTATTCAAGTATTCATAGAGGGAATGGAAAACACTTTGCAATGTATGTCCTCGCCTTCTATATGATGGAACCTGGTTTGATAGATTCGTGTACTTGCGTGTAGACAAACTATCCTCTGAAATAACAACACCTCAAGAGTTGCTGGTCGTGTTTGACTACCACACTCAACAATTCCAAACCATAAACTGCCCTCCATCTCCAATCTTCTTTAACCCCACTTATCCTTCTCATATGAATCTCCAAGCGAAAATATTGGACTTCCAAGGGACTATGTATGTAATAGATGAGTACCACATTACTCAGAATCATCACTGTGAGATGTGGGCATGGGATCCAGATACTTCCACATGGGATGGCACATTTGAGACCCATGAATTCCCAAATCTGAACACACACGTTCCACACGGATTACATTTCCATCATGATTGGCTTTATCCAGTGTTTCTAAGCCACAAATCATCTCCAGCGGGACAGTTCATTGTCAAAGGATACGATAATCGACATTTGCTGTTGTATAGTGTTCCTACCAGGAAAATCACACACTCAAGTACATCGCCGGATCTAGAAACCAGTTTCATCATTAGAGCATATTACTTCTGGGAGACATTAACACACTTTTAGGATTTTTTTTTTTTAAAAATATATATTTCCCTTGTTAACTTATTACTAGTTATCCCAGGACTTTGTACTAATTATCCAGATTATCTATGTTAGTTATCCAATGATATTATTTGTGAAGAAAGCGTGTTCAACGTGTTCATGTCTTTTTTTTGTAATATCTATATGCATTTAAAGTTGCATATCCGGTACAGGCGAGTTGGATATACAGTACAAACGAAATGGATATCCAGTACAAACAAGTTTGATAGGCATACAAACCAAAATGGTGGATATCCATTACAAACAACTTGGATAACCAGTTCAAACTGGTTGGATAATCAGCATGAACACAATAGATAACCAATTTAAAATAACCACTTGGATAACAAGTTCAAGCTGCTTTGATAATACTGCAATTTAAAATAAATAATACTTTTTAAATAAAAATCTTTACACCATCAATACTGTTCATTTCAATATCAAGTTAAAATACTAATAAAACATCTTGTTGAAGAAACGCTGCGCTCCAGCCTCCCTGGCAGCTTCCCTTCGGTTAGGAAATGAGAACCCACCAAAGTTTTGATTCATGAATGTCATGTTTTGATGAGAAGCATTCACAGCAGTGGAAGTGCTTGCGCCTTGAAACTCCTGGCCAGCTCCCTTGGGAATTGGAAATGAGAATCCACTGAAATTTTGGTTGATGAATGGCATGCTTTGATCAGAAGCATTCACAGAAGCGGAAGCCCCTGCCCATGAAAAATCCTGGGCAGCTACGCTTGGATTAGCAAATGGGAATCCACCAAAATTTACGTTCAAAGATGGCATGCTTTGATGGGAAGCATTCACAATAGCAAAACTTCCTGAGCCTGAATAATCTTGAGCAGCTCCCTTTGGATAAGGAAATGGCATGCTTTGATAATGCAGGTCTGATGCAACTGAAGCTCTTGTTCGGTCAGCAGCAATTCTTGCATTTGTTTTCCTGCCTCTGACTTTGTTACATGCCTTCTCAACTATGCTTTTAGGACATTCGTTCCTGGGACCAAACTTATTCCTCTTTACAGCCGGATTCTTTATAACACCATCATTGTCTACAGACTCATCATTATTATTTGAACCAATGAAACTGCCAAGTTCTTCTTTAAGCCTGTCAACCGCCTCGTCACAACATTTCTTTGTATCTTTGTTATATTCACTTGCATACAACAAGTCTGAAAATCGTCTCATAATTAGTGCCTTCCACAGCAATGGCCCAGCAGCTTTTCCATCTCCCTCATTAGCTATGCTTGACCTGGCACCATAACCTATTGTCCATCTCATACATATATAATCTTTAGGAAACTCATCAGCAGAGGTTACATGACAGATTCGAAGAATGTGGCAACAAAGCATGCCCGCCTCAGAGTAGTACCTGCACGTGCATGACAATCTCTGTAACCTAGTGTCATGTACAACCACATGCTTAAAGTGCTCTATCCCAAACCGCCAAACATTGTACGTCACAATATTGCCATCATTTGAGACCTCTAACTGCTCCTGCCTGCACAACATCCCATCTTTGTGCAACTGCTGAACCTTTCGAAATGCTTCAACTATGTACACTCTGCGAATGCTCTCCAGGAAAGGGTCACCAGGAAGATATGAATCGATGTTTCCCTGGCTACAGCGTAGATATTCACCCCTCACAGCTACCCGCCAAAAGTGTACAACATCAGAGAAAATTCCATAAAAATCACAAAGCGATGATGTGGCCTTCATTTTACGAGAAATTGCATTATTTGTTGACTCGCTCCTCTGTGAAGCCAAGGTACTACCAGAAAAAACATCTTTTCTAAATGCAGGGCACCACATATGCCTCACATCATAAATACCATTGAGCCATTTGTCATCATGACAATCACACTCATCCAATAATCTGTGCACAACAATATAAAACATATGCATAAAAAGAAAATAGCTAGATTATCCATATAGTTATCCAGCCAACAAAGGCTTTCTACTAGTTATCCAGCCATAACGGGTGGTTATCCAGAGATAATTGCTGGTTATCCAGAATGTGTAAACTAGTTATCCAGCCATAACCCGTGGTTATCCAGAATGTGTAAACAAGTTATCCAGCCATAATTGCTGGTTATCCAGAATCTGTAAACTAGTTATCCGGCCATAATGGGTGGTTATCCACAATCTGTAAACTAGTTATCCATGCCTTTTTTTAGTTGTGCTTCTACGCGGCTGCTTGTCCATACATTATTTTGCTGGTTATCCATCATTGTTGTATAACTTACCTACCTATAAGTAATCATCAGGAAGATCATGCATGACCACTAACACATACCCACACAAAAAAAGAGAGACACTCTTAATCATGGAAATGATCAAAATAATAATAAAAAATATTGACAAACTGACATCCTCCATAATAACTACTCGAACTCGATTTCTGTTGAAGTGTATTTCATCAGATAATTAAAGTTTTTAACAAAATCTGGCTTGTTCCTTAAATGACCAATTCGCTTTCTTGAATTTTCACCTATGTGCCATACACAGAGACGATGCCGAGAACTTGGAAAACATATCCGAATACTTGCAGCAATGGAAGGTGCTTGATCTGTCATTATGGTTTGTGGCTGCTTATCTCCCATTGATTTCAAAAAATGCTTGAACAACAAATCAAAAGAGGGTTCTTTCTCGTTTAACACAAAACCACAACCAAACATGACATTCTTGTTATGATTATCCATACCCAAAAACGGAGCACAGATCATTCCATATCTGTTTGTTCGATACGTTGTATCAAACACAAGCAAGTCACCAAACAAATCATAATCCTTTCGCATTCTGCCATCCCTCCAGAAGAAAATACACAGCCTACCCTGCTCATCACAGTCAAAATTAAAGAAGAAATCTTCTTCAGTTTCCTTCCTGTCCCAAAAAATCTTCATGAGCTGATTACAATCGCCACCTTCAAATCCAACACCAGGACGCTCATAATTGTAGGCATCTCTCGAAGTATACTTCATGTTCGGACTTCCACCGTGTAATTTTGCCACAAACTTATATGCATCAACCAAAGGGATGCCACTCCTTGTCATGTCTCTGATTATCTTCATATCAATTTCATCTACTTCATGTTGAGATCAAAGAAGTCCAATCATTTCATTTGGCACAAGATCATGATTGTGATCAACCAGATGCTTTGTACAGGTCTACAAGCCATCTTTGTCAACAGTAAAATGGATATAAGCTAGACACCCACACCGAAAATTAATCCTCTCATGGCACATATCACCATTTCCACCGGATCTCTTGTATCATTCGCGGTTACAACAGAATTTCTTCATCCTAACTTTATCAGTCTTACCTCTAAACTTCTGTTTTCCCACTCTCACACTAAAACCAATCAATCGGGCATGATCATTATACAAATCATAAGCTTCTTTCTCACTTCTTGCAGTCTTGCCAACTAAAGTAAAAACAGCCAAATCATTATTCTTCGTCACAGATGAAATTTCCTTATGCAAGGCATCCTCCTCCACCATCACATTATCAACTCCCAATTTATTGCCGCTATTATCTTCTCCACATTCTGAGAAAAACAAAAGAGATGGTTGGATAACCATTACCATGCAGTCGGATAATCAGTATTAACACAATGGATAAACAAATAAAAAAAATTTTAAACACATATAAACAAGTTAGAAAACCTACCCTTCAGAGCAGATGTAACTTCCATGCCCAAAGCATAATCCAGCATCACATCATCCCCCAACTCATTGATATGGTTATCTTTTACAAAAAATAAAACAAACAGAAAAACAAAAAATTTTAAAAAAAAATCTTTGATACACCAATTATATATAAACAACTAAAAAATGTTGGATATCCAGTACAAATCAGTTGGATATCCAGCAAATAAAATTTGGATACGCATGTAAATCAGTTGGATAACCAGTACACATAAGCTGGATATCCAACACAAACAAAGTGGATATCCAGTACAAACATGTTGGATATCCAACACAGCATAACTGCTTATCCACTTCATACAACATTAACAAAAACAGAACTGTGAAAAAACTAGATTGATTATTCTCTCACAAATAGTATACTCCGAACTGTGAAAAACCACCAATTCAATATAAACAACTCAAAAATGTTGGATATCCAGTACAAATCAGTTGGATATCCAGCAAATAAAATTTGGATATGCATGTAAATCAGTTGGATAACCAGTACATATAAACTGGATATCCAGCACAAACAAAGTGGATATCCAGTACAAACATTTTGGATATCCAACACAGCATAACTGCTTATCCACTTCATACAACATTAACAAAAACAGAACTGTGAAGAAACTTGATTGATTAGAGTAGACTCCGAAACCTACACAAACCTGATTCCAGCTGATTTACAACAGAACTGTGACCTTGCGTTGATTTGCTGGCACAGTAAGATTGTTTGATGGATTTTCTACCGCTACATTCCGCATTCATCAAGCCGGAATCATCAATGACATAACTCATCACTCGATTTGAACTCAGCATATCGTCGATCCAATCACCGTTTCGCCACTCTGGTGGAATCGGAGCCTTTCCTCGATCGCTGAACGCCGTCACCGTCTCAACGACTCAATCGCCACCGGCCGTGTCCACCTCAATGCCTCGATCGCCGACTCCCATTGCCGCCACAACGCCTCGATCGCTACCGGCCATCACCCATCAATAATAATCTATCACAAAGTTTTCCAAATTTGAATGAATTCGGTTATTTATATAACCCCGCGTTTAAAAGAAAAAAAAAAGAAAAAGAAAGCTGAATTATAATGGCGGACTAACGCTATTGTAAGAGAGTAAGGGACACGCGCATGAGGGGACACGGTACCCCCGGGGTGTACCAGATAATTTGCCCTCCACCCAATCGTTTTTGTTTACGTTATCATTTAGGAATTCGATCCATACACGCCCCCTAAGTTGTGATTCATTCCTTTTTCATATTGAAAAAACTCTTTTGTTTATTTATTTTGTCAAAATATAAAATTCTTTTCTTTATTTATTTTGTCAAAATATATAAGGATTTAGGTTTTGGATCTTAAAATCAGTTGGTAATGAGTGTGGTGACCAGTAAAGCTTACGCACTTCTTTTCGCGCTAGCTATGTAGGACAATATATTTTAACTTCTTCTCTCAAGTCCAATGTGTACTTATAGTCCAATGGACTTGGATCACAACAATACGATTTATCAATAATCCAGTTATATCGCTGGTCAGTCTACAAGAAGCCCACATGCATTGCTCCGGTAGGTTAATATAACATCATCACACGTGTCACACCCTCAGGATTGTAATAGATGAAATTAGAAGTACAGGGACTTGGATGTAATATTTGATAGTGAGTCACACTATATGAGTTTGGGACAAAGGTGTAAACATCATCAATAATCAGAATATTCATTTTCCAGAACTGGAATTATCATCTTTTCTTTGGTTTCTCTCTATTTTTCCCTTTTCTGAACCCTAAATCTACTTTGTTCTTGATCCTAAATTTCATTCTCTTCCTCGATTCTTCTTCTTTCGCCGATTTGGTCCTGGTACGTGACAACACGGGCCATCTACGGCCCATAACAACATTGCATTCTGATACCATGTCAAATTATATAACTACTTTCGTCTCCCATCTTAAAACTAATTAGAAAAATGAGTAGTGTGACTTATATACGGATCCACTTTTTTTTACGCTGGCGATGTGAGACAACATATCTAAATATTTTTTTTTTCGAAACAGATTCATAGTCCCGAGAGAATTCATTTTAATTTTCAATGAAGACATCAAGCCTTTAGTAAACATAATTAGGCCATGGACCAAACCAAGATGCGAGACTCCTTCTGATTTTACTGGAAGGTCATCTATAGCTTTAATTCCCGTGGAGTTGAAAAAAATTCAGCCTCCTATTGAAGAGTTTTGAAATACGGTGATAGGACAGCACTGCTTTATTCATCAGGAAGTTTTGGCTAATTTTAAAATTATATTTTCTTAACATATTTTTCTATTGTTAATATTGTGAGACAATTCTCAATAAATTGGCATAGTTAAGCTATTCTTCCTTTTCCAAAAAAAATACATGTATGATATAATAATAAATACTTATTTGGTTGAGCAAACAAAATAATTGTGTTTTTTTTTTGTACAATTTTTTTTATTAATATTTACAGTGTTATGTGAATGCATGATTTTCGTCCTTTAACTTACATTATATCTTTAATTAGTATTGTATTCATACGTTGTACATCGAGCATTTAGATATTAATGTTGAAAATGTTTATCGATATTAATCTATATAGAAAAATATCTAGATAGTAGCGTAAATGATAAAGGTCGTATATCCTACTATATTAGAAACAAAAACCTCCCTTTCAAACACATTATATGATTGCCACGTGGCATATAGAAAATACTAAATTACCCTTTTGTCTAACCATAACTAAATTACTAAATTTCCCTTTGCACTTTACATGACACGTTTTTTTTTTAAATTTTTTCTTTATGTTTCATTCAACTAGAGTGGTTTTTTAAATTGAATTGATCAATTAGGTTTTTTGTTACAAAGTGTCAATTTTGTTTTAAGCGTATACCCTTCGGATGAAGTTTATTACAAAGCTATTAAAAATCTCCAAAACTAAGTATTGATTTGGCACGACCAATGGAGAACATCAATAAATCATCTTACTAATATTTAAATTTATTAAGATACTTTTATATTTTATCTAACATTTACTTCAACACATATATTCGATTAAGCTATTTATATTTAATAAGTAACACTTATAAAACATTTCTAAAACATACATGGCGAAATACAATTTATTTTTTTTTTGCGAAATACAAATATTTCTATGATCACACTTATAAAACATTTCTAAATCCTTCAAAAATTTCTAAAATATATCGCTCCAAATACAAAATTTTATTTTTTTCAAATATAAACATTTCTAAGATCTACAGATAGACTGGGCCAGGGTCGCGCAAATGCGCGACCAGACATCACTAGTTTATTCATAAAACAATACCTCTGTAATGATAATTTAACTGTTACACAAAAGAAATTACACAAGTTGTAATTTATTTTAAAAGGAAAAATATAAAAAAAATAAAAACAGTCACAGTAGGATTATATAAAAGATTTAATTAATTTATTTTTTTTTGGTTCTTTTCCTGAATAAATTTCCAATCATTATTATTCTGTTTATTTACTCCACCATTTCCATTCAACAAATCTTTCATACTTCCCCGTGTGCATGGCTTCTCTAGACTATCGTCAGTGCCTCTAAGGGTACAACTCTGAACCTAATTCAAAACTTCTGGTTGGTTAGTTTTTTCGGTTCCTAAAAAATGTTAATCGACTTAATTAATTTTTTTAAATTTTAATTAGATATATGATGAAATTTGACGTTTTTTTGTCACGGAACGGATCATGTGTTCGACTGAATGCAAGTCCTCTCTTGTTGTATAAATCAGGCAATTCTACAGGGAACTAGCCTAGAGTCATGGTGATGATCCAGGCTGTTGGCTCATTAATGGTGTGCAATTGTGGTTTATGACTCTTTGGTTGGAGTAATTAATTTAAATGGCTGCTAAACCTTCCTGATATTCATTTCATGGTGGTCCTGTTTGGAAAAATAAAAGGCGTTTTTTTTTCTCTTTTGATGAAATGGAATCAAATTAGGCAATTTATCTAGTACTTAACAGTTTCCTGCCCATGGCCATGTTGGAGAAATTCATAAGGGCTTGACCAATCTTGGTTCTGGACTTGTGATTTTTTTCTTACTGATTTAAGGGAAGATATGGCAAGGGCAACTACACTTACCCTGGTTCTCACATCTCTTGGATTTTTCTTCTTGACGTATAATATGGTAACAACTGTAGTTCGCTACAGAACTATGAGTTCAGAACGATCAATCAGTAGTAATCTGGTGGGTCAATCCATTGTAGATCCTGTTGTTGAGAAGCCGCGCAACGCTCCCGAAGAAAGGAAAGAAAGGCATCCTTTTCATGTTGCCTTGACAGCGACTGACTCGCCTTACAGTAAATGGCAATCTCGCATAATGTACTACTGGTATAAGAAAATGAAGCATTTACCCGGTTCAGAGATGGGAACGTTTACTCGCATTTTGCATTCTGGACGTCCTGACAACCTAATGGATGAGATTCCTACGTTTATAGTAGATCCTCTTCCTAAAGGTTTGGACAGGGTGAGGACTTCTTTTCTTAGTCTTAGTTTTACTATTGTCTTTTTAGGTGTCTTTCGTGGTTTTCCAGCACATCTTTCGTTGAATTTTTGTTGATCTAATCTGGAGGGTCACAGGATTTCGATTTGTTTCTGTATTGTATCTGCTGTGTTCCTCTTTTCTTAACCCAAAAATTAAGAAAGGCAGGAGGTAGGACTTGTCTTTCTTCTCTCATTGCATTGTTTTCAAACTTGTCAAGGTATCACAAAAAGATTCTGCTAACATACACAGATGATTTTAAACATAGTACTGTCTCTGTCAGATGAAGTGGAGCCTTACCAGGTTTATCTCCTTAAAATTATTTCGAGGATGTTCTGAACAAATGGATGGACGAAAATAATTCAAACTAACCCTTGCCGGCCCCCAATCCTTTTTTGGGAGGGCTTCTCCCAATAGCTTTTTTTGGCTTCCTGTATATGTACATCCTTCGCTTCTTCTTTCCCTGTGCGCTAACTAATGAATGACACTATAGCTTGATGAGTGGTGAGTTGTGGTTTTAGGTATCCTGATTAAAGTTTAACATTCTCAATTTCATGTGGAGGTTATAAAGTACCTTCTTTTTTTTTAGTTTTCTGCCTGATGCTTAACCTTTAATTGTTACAAAGAATGGTACCAAATTTCATTTATCAGGACTTATACACGTACTCTTCTATTGCTCTAACTGCAGCATTCTTTATGATAGCCTGCAGTAGCAATTTATGGTCAGCTATGGTTTTATTTCTTCCCTTAAAAAATATTTTACTGTACTTCATTCGCATTGTATATGCCTTCGCAAGATAGATACCTCTTAGCAGGTTTATGTTATCTATCTCTCCTTCACATTCATCATAATCTCTTTTTCTTTCTGTCATTTTACCAGGGTTATGTGGTTCTTAATAGACCATGGGCATTTGTGCAGTGGCTGGAAAAGGCGTCGATTGAAGAAGAGTGAGTTTTCTGCTACCCAACATATGGTCTTGCATCTTATCGTAGGCGGTTTATAATTACTTGGGTGTAATGCGCAGATATATTTTAATGGCGGAGCCAGATCACATATTTTTAAATCCATTGCCTAATCTCTCATACCAGGATTATCCTGCAGCCTTCCCCTTCTTTTACATTCAACCTAAAGAAAATGAGAATATTATAAGGAAATATTTTCCGGAGGAAAATGGTCCTGTCAGCAACATTGATCCAATCGGGAATTCTCCAGTTATTATCAGGAAGGTAACACTTACAAGATTGTAAATATTAGCTTCGATTTTCTTCTGCATGTTGAGCTTCTCTGTTCTTTCCAGAAAAAAACAATAACTGGTGCACATGTTTGTCTTAGTTTTCCAAGAAAAACCTTACTATCATCTGCCACAAGTTGTTCAGGATTTGCTGGAGAAGATTGCACCTACATGGGTTAATGTTTCCGTGAGGATGAAAAATGACAACGAGACTGACATTACATTTGGATGGGTTCTCGAAATGTAAGGCAGAATTTTGCTTTCATTTCGTGATTTTACGCTGTTGTTTCTTACTTTTCAGCTTTCACATGCTTTTTCTCTTTAGTTTTTATTTATCATGTTACAATCATATCTTGAATAGGTATGCATATGCTGTCGCTTCTGCCTTGCATGGTGTGCAGCACATTCTTCGAAAAGATTTCATGTCACAGGTTTGAGAATTCCCATCTCTGGTTTCTTACTTGGCTTCCTTAAATAAAACGATATGCTTGCTGAACCTTGTGGTTATTGATTTCAGCCTCCATGGGATTTAGAAACTAAAAAGAAGTTCATTCTGCACTATACCTATGGCTGTGACTACAATATGAAGGTAAATTTAACAGCACAGATATTGTGCTGCTGCTGTAACCATTTTCTTATTTGTAGTTTCTTAGCATGTTTGGTTGTTCGGGTGTTCTGTAGAAAACAATGGCTTTTTTCTGCTGTTGAAACTTTCAAGCATAATGATGGCAGGGTGAGCTGACATATGGGAAAATTGGGGAGTGGAGGTTTGACAAAAGGTCACATACCAGTAAACCTCCACCGAAAAACATTTCTTTGCCTCCTCCTGGTGTACCGGAAAGTGTGGTATGTCTAAGTTGTCATATTTAACAGCTTATATCCAAGAAGCTACATCATTCTCAAGCTGCTGGTTGTCAATGTGTGTTGTGCAATATTCTTTTCCATGCATTGCCACATCATATGCATGGCTTTTGTGCTAGTCTCCTTGGTATTTGCTACAAGATGTGCATGGTTTTTCTGCTAGTCTCCTTGGTATTTGATACATCATGTGCATGGTCTAGATACATTAGTGCTTATTTGGAAAATACATTAGTAAATCGTGTTTATACTGGAGTCTGAAAATGGGAATTATTTCCTAGGTTCTGAAAGCTGACAAAGTTCTGATATAAAGAAAAAATATTTTCCAATTACATATGAAGAGAGTAATAAGAGTACTGAAATATGCTGAGGTAAATTCCTCCTCTAGAAAGTTGACGGCTACTCTTACAGCCAAATGTTTGGAAAATGATAAGCACAACGACTGTAACTGGTAAGAATAAATCAGATGACACTTATCTTGAGCGTGTGGAAAGATGCAGAGCAAACACCACAGTTGTTTTACTGAAGTTAGGATTGTTCTGGTCTATAATCAATAATAATTTGACACCAATCTCTGTCTACGAGTCTTTTAGGAAATGAATCTCCTGTTCAATTGTCTGTCGAGTGGATAAATGTATAGTACTGTTACCTGACAGCATGGAACTAAGAATGTGTAACTTCCTTCCAACTGTTTAAAAACATCATTGTGTGCAAGTAGGTGCCGATCCTGATGGCCAGATATCTGCCTTGTTTGTTTTAATGAATTTGTATATTTTCAGAAAAGAAAGCTCACGTTTGAGCAACAGAATGCATAGGAACTGTGGTCATGCCTAGAGTCTAGACTATAACTTCCACTTTAGTCCAGTAGGAGTCGTTAGCTTCATTTACTTCTCTATAATTAGTTGTAAGGTCTACCCAAAACAACTCGATAATGAGTAGAAACGGCCAAGAATCTTGGTAGCACATGTGGTATCATGAGCTAACAATTATGGTCAAGGTTATGGTTATTCACCCTCTTTACAACAAGAAAATAGAACCATCAAACCCCAGTGACAATCTCAATTAGAGAGCATTAGGCCTGGAGGGAGCCCAATGAGAGGCTGAAATGATCAACAGATGTTGTGAAACTTAGCTCACTGCATTGACCTGATTGACTAATGCTTGGAAAACCAAACCCTAGCCTGAAGATCCAACGCCATGTCACAGACCTGCATTCGACTCAAAAACACAGTTAGCATCACGAGTGTAGTCTTCTTGTGGACTGTCTTATATCAACAACTAATTATGGATTCATATGTTTGCAGGTCACTCTTGTAAAGATGGTGAATGAGGCTACGTCCAATTTGCCCAATTGGGAAACAACATAAGAACTTGAGAACCTTTGAGTACAGTAATTAGGTTAATGAATTGTCCCAATCAGAGTATAGACACTTTAGAATCAAATTATACCATTGTTAACTTTATTCACAAAAAATAATCAAATACTTCTCACAAAGAAAAGATAATACTAAAAGACAAGTCTTCTTTCTTTTTCTAGTACAAAGGGAGTAAGAGTATTATCGTCAACTCTGGTTCTTAATTAATTCTTGAAGATCATTTCAATCGGAGCTTTACTTGTCACAAAATTAAAAAAAAAAAAAAAAAGTTATCCTCTTCCACAAGGGCAACCGTTCAAATCGTCCCATAATAATTGGAAGCATTAAACACAACAAAGATAAATTGATTTTCTCAATACGTGGTTTTGAAATTTACTTACAAACCGGCCGACCTAGATTAGCAAACAACTCTTTACAAGGTACCAAAATCACAAGCCGGGCACCTGCGTTTCGTACATTACATGTACAAACAAATCAAAATTTCAAATTGACAAAAAATGACTATATCTGTACAATGTTGTACACTTCCTGAAGCTCTAGTGGAGAGACATTGGGCAGAAGCAGAGACTTTCTGGTCTAGCTTTCTGGTCTTCCCTCGTAAGAGTCAGAACTAATGAAATCTGTAAAACTGGGAACATGTTGCATTGTACATAAAAAAATACACCACAAAGGCCGCCATCAAATGAACAACAGCAATGAGAATAGCTCTGACACATCGTTTTAGGTTACATCAGATTATTTACAGACGACCCTCCAGACTCAGCAGTGGCATGGTTTCCCTTTCAACTGATCAATTCTGGACATGAACATTCTGGGGTCACATCAGTTGGCAAAAAAGCACTTTGAATTTCCACCCCTTTTTCTGCTTGCCCAGATAACACCAGAAAGGTAACAATTCAGCTTTTTTTTTTTTTAAACCAACTTGAACTAAAACAAAACCGTAACCTCCAGCTGAAGATTGTAATTGTAAACAGTATCGTCATTCAAGGGTACCAGCTTGATCGACCTTTACTCTCAGAACCCTTGTATGATCTCCGACCCTCTGGCCACCTTCCGCTTCTATCATATCGATAGTTCTGATAATCTGCATGCATTCTAGGTGAACTTCTTCCATTATCTCTGCTGCGAGCAGTTCTCATCTCTTCCTCTAGATCATATTGTGACCGCTAGAAGTAGAAATATATATATATATATATATATCATGTTTTAGAGAAAAAAAAGCTAAGAATGAACGAAAATGAATTCAGCAAATTAAGCTTTCTCAGAATACAGACTAGTAAGACGATGAAGTCAATGCCTAAATACTAATACGACTTAGCCGTTATCTTATTATGTGAGATCTGATATATATTATATGTGCTATTGTGCTCTATCGAACCACATATTTCATATTGTTGAAAGTCAATCATGTCCTTAATAGTTTCTTTCCTATTCTTTTTAGATCTTCCCGTTCCCCTTTTAATATGAGTAAAAGACAAAAGATTCTATGCCTTGTGCCTTCTAATTGGGCATATACATATCTGTCCATTAACTATAAGAAAACTTTACTAAGCATCGATCAAAGGTGTGAAGCAATCCAAATTGGACTTCTAAATGAAAATTTTCCAACAAAAATGAATAAACAAATAAAATAAAGACACATGCAGTGGTAAATCATGGCGACTTTCCTATAGCTACAATACAGAGACACATGCCGGTTTCTGCAAACACAAAACCCCATGGTGATCCTAAATATCCACTCAGTGTTACTTTAGACTAAAAACCGACTGATGTGTGCCATCAAAACAGCAATACTTTTGTCTTTAACTAAGCACAAGAGCACAAGAACATTTCTCTGGGTAGGTATCCAGGGAAGACGCTCCAAAACTCCATAACTTTGACAGTAGACAAAAAGCAGCTTACAACAACAAATTCCATACAGAGGAATAAATAGTCAAATATCTATTCAGATTCATTATCACAAGTTTTCTTGTCTCACGTTAAAATTTAAAATACAAAATCATTCTCAATGATGATAGAATGAGGATGAGCTCACAAAAGTATTTTGTGTTCTCTTGTTGTTCAAACAATATCTTTTGTGCTAAAAGAATTTATTTAGCTTTCCAATTTTATTTTTCTAACCATCCTAACTACCAGGGATAACTCCAAAGACCTTGCCTCATCACAACAGTCAAGTCACAATTACTGGCATCATTCTGTTTTTGCTTTAGTATTGACAGCTTGAACATTTCATATGCTATCGGCTGCCCGAGTTTTTTGTTCTTTCTTTTCTTTATAAAATAAAATTAAAAAAAAAGAAGAGGAAAGCCAATTCTTCCCACAGAAGCCTCCACTCATCATCCACAATTAACAAAGTCTCAAGTATATAGAATCAGATTTCCCTTTATCAGCAATTTATGAAATTAACATGCCATGCAAGACATATTTCTGTATGAATGGGCAAATAACCAAACACTTGAAGAAATATTCCAACTTGAAACCGGAACAGGAAAAGTAGATTCTCAAATGTTTGAGAAAACGTTGATCAATCTACTGTCTATGAGCATGTATTAGTGAAACACAACCCAACACAACCACAGAATTTCCTTTGAATCAAATTGCAAATGAATGATCATTGATGCAGGAGTTCCAGACATTAACTAACTACATCCTGATACTGTGGAAAACATTCCTGTCCAGGTTGCATGTCATTGTGAATGTGTGCATGTCTGCACGCATGTCGCAGGGGTTGGAAGAGAGGAAAAGCAGTACAGGCTGAATATTCTTCGTGCATACATACCTTCGAAGGGTCTGAAAGCACTGCATATGCCTCCCCAATCATTTTAAAGAGACGATCAGCATCTTTATGAACTTCTTCTGCTATTTCCCTCCATAGCCTATCATCTCTAGACAAGGATTGCCCTGCCTATATCAATACAATACATATAAGAAAAATTAAAAAGTGAGAATTTGTGGATATCGAGAAAAAATCCAAGCAATAAAACCTTGTCTGGATGGTGTTTCAGTGCAGCTTTTCTATATGCTTTTTTAATTTCTGATATTGCAGCAGATGGATCAACACCCCTGGAATTAACGGAGCATCAGGACAATGGTTTCAATAAAGATTGAAAAGGTTACAGCTATTTGGAGTTTCCTATGGCTCCCTCATGGAGCACATTACTCAGTTCACACATATTCTACAACATAAATAACAAGCATAATCAGGTCACAATGATATAGAAGTACAAAGGCAAAACATCTCTGGGCGATTCTTTACAATAAAAGTAATCGTGATCCTTTCTAACAGAGTTGAAGTTAGTACAAATGAAACAGTGGATAATGGGGGTTTCTATAACACCACAAGCACAGACAAGTATGGTATAGTTCCTTTAAGGACTCTGAAGAACTTATGTATGGGCTCTAACCGAATGAAGACCTTCAACTATACAGAAGAGGGAGGATTCCTCGAGATGAAATACAACGAGGAAAAACAACAACGAAAACAGAAAACTTCATTGTGCAGTCATATCAAAGGACACGAACATTCAGTGGCTTACCCACTAACCCACAACCTCATTCGCTAGAAGAGTTGAAGTTACAACGATCTTTCATTTTCTTAAAACTGATCATTCTGCATAATGCAGAAGTATGGTATATTCTCCTATAATAAACGATCTAAGCTAAACACTGCCAAGCAGCCATTTTCTAATCAACTATATCAACATAAATTAATCAAGTTGTTGAAAAAGAATATGGATCTTGTAGAGGAAGTACGTTTACCATTTACATAGACGTCACCAAAGAGGGCTGTAGCGAAAACAGGGAAGAGGACGAAAAGAACATGGAAATATAGCAAGCAAAGCTGCAGCTGATGTTATACAGACTCTGCAAAGTGATAGGAGGTGCCTATATCGGCACAAGCTAAAATGAATACAGGAAAAAACACTCACATACAGGAATTTTGTGAATGTACAGTTTTTTAGGACTGGTTTTCTGCAGTACAGAAGAAAAGAGTAAATTTTCTTTCTGAAAGATAACGATAAGGAGAAGTTAAGAGGATATAGACTGGAATGACTTTTTCAGAAAGCTAATGAGAAGTTGGAAAGATAACATTAGAAGATCTTTTGGAAATATTAGAATAAGTTAGGAGACCAAAATAACTTTTAAATAACTTTTACCAGATCTACCCTACAACTGACAGGTTTCATGTAGTATACTGTTTGAAAACTTAAAATTTAATATGCATTGCTCATAAACAGTTGACTGAAATGTTGACCAAACCTGCACCGTAAATTACGTCCTTGCAACTACTAGGGTCCATGGGTCTGTCACTAAATTCAAAGAATAGGCACACCGATTGGAGAACCTCCTCCATATCCGATAGTTCTATCCAAGTCCATTAATAAACTATAGCCAGATAGGCCAAACTACCAGATGAATGATATAGAATGATAATGATTCTAACATATTTTAAAAGATGATGACTCAAAGCTATGAGATGGCATCATTCATATGCAGAAATGAGTAGAACGTGGTACTTACAAAATTAGGTACACATTCAACGGGATCTCATTTCTGTCAGCTTCTTCCATCTGAGAAAGCTTTAGTTCAGTTTGCTCAAGCTCATTTGAATATCTAATTCGATCAGATGATGCTAACTGATTGCCTTTGTCCTCAAGTTTCTTCATGAGAAGAGATACCAGCCGCTGAAGATCAGCAGCTGCTTGGTGATAATCTCTTATCATCTCAAACAGTGCTGCACGTCTAGAGAATGCCTGCAAACATATAACCACAGTTTGATAATACAAATAAAAAATAATCAATCAAATAAAAAATTAACCAGGAAGTTTGATGAACAACGTTAGCCTCTCCCCCAACATGATAGCTTTCATATGTTAGACCATAAAAGCAATAGAAGAATCTTGTGTCAGCTCGTGTAAAGAACTTTTAAGCCACAAGTCTCTGAAACTTAAATATGGAAGGAAGTTATATTTGAAAAGGTTCTACATTTGTCTATATTCATCACCAAGTCACAAGGCTAAGATGAAAAGAGAAACTATACATTAACAAAATAATAAACCAACAATGCTATAGCCTTAAAATTAACTAAGCCAAAAAAAAAAAAAAGGAAAGAAATGCATGTAATATTCTTCATTTTTCTCAATCTCCCCCATTTATCTCTTTTCTTCACTGCGCTTTTCTAAGAACTATTATGGTCTTTCCAAGTATTTATCATAAACTAGCCCCCAAAGTTTCTTAAGTCAACAATTGTCCACAAGGAAACCAATGCAATTCCGATTTTTTGCAGTTTCACATCAAGCATCAAAGAGTAAAGCTCAGGAATATAATCACCATGTTTTAGGCATAATCTCAGAGTATTGCAAAACCAATTCAAAAGAGTGTAGGGTTGCACAACAGGCATGTGATATTTCCAGTAGTCCAAGTACTGTCTCTTTTAACACCAGTCACATCCTCACACATTTTAGGGTATGACAGGAATCATCATAATAACTTATTAAACACTGTCCCAGTGCTAGTAAAACATTTAGATGGCACCAAACTCTGCAAAGGGCCAACTTATAATACGAAATGAACAGCGTTCTTGTTATAGGCAGGTGGTGAAGGTCGAGGTAAACAAAATAAGATTACCAAAAACTGAAAATATGAAAACTCTCTTACACACTTTAAAAGCTTACTTTGTAACTCAAAAGAGAACGAGAAAAGAAAAGAGAGGGGTAAAGAGGAAAGGAGGGAAAAACCTTCAAGTAATTGCCGTCAAGCGCTATAGCCAAGCTACAATCTGCTATGGCATCCGTAATTTGACCCATGGCTCGATATGCAGCAGCACGATTGCAGAAACAGATTGATGCAAAAGGCCTGGACTCAACACTCTGCAATATAGCAGCAGTATAGTGTTGAACAGCTTCAGCATACCTACCCGATTGAAATGCTTCGTTTCCTGCACTCTGCAGCTAAAAGGCGTTAGTCCATTTGATCTTAAATGAAAACTCAAAATGCCAGCAACTTTTGGCTGTAGCATAATTCAAAAAATCATTAGTGTCAGAGTTCACTAGATAAGAAATAAGTACATCGAGAAAGAAGGGGAAGAGAAGAGCTAAAATGGATAGGTAGGAATAACTTTCTACAGAGCTTCAAGTAATCAGCGTTTATGTATTCCAGTTGTTCTCACTATTTTCAACTTCCACTAGATTTCAAGAAATCATAATAGCAGACTACTGCAAAATGTCTAATGTTGTATGTGATAAAAGAACTACAAGTTTGGGCGCACACAGAAAGTAGAGAGATTTACAAATTATTCTCTCCAAATTGATCAACACTTGTGGACAACAAAGTGTAATGGACAAAAAGTTAAATAAAGAAGAATAGGCCAGACGTGATAATGTTTAGAAGAGTAACGCCTAAAGGTCCAGCCAGAGCACTTAAAACAACTAAACTTGTAGCAGATACACCATTATAACAGCTTCCTGATGGCATGGAAATTGAGCATGAAGGATTTGAAGTTAAAACGATCTTCAGGCTACTGTTTCCGATAAGTCGGTAGAATAGCAAGGCGACTAGAAGTTTTTCAGGTTTTTATATATTACATTAACAAAATGAGTAACCCAATTCCAGCCCGGAACTAACATCACTTCAACTTGGGAACTAAATCATTTGAGTTTTAATCTTCATTTCAATCATCTGGCTTGACTGCATCAATGCCTACTAATATGATTGGGAAAAAAAAAGAGCAAACAAAAGAATTCATCAAGGTTCTCTTTTGACAATTTCAATGTTCTTCTCTAATTGTCTTTGTAGCTTGAACATTGTGCAATCAAGAAGATATACGCGTCTTTGTGAAAATTTTGGACAAAGTTTAAAATAGGATGGTATTTCAAAAGCGTTCTTTTCTTAATGAAGCTGTATGAACAGGCAGAAAACTTTTGGTGGTCTAAAAATCAAAAGATAATATAAACATTTCACAGGAACAATAGGTTATACCAACACTTTTAATCAAAATACAAATGGAAAAATACAAAAGATCGAATCTGATGAGAAAACTTTGCATATATACTTGTATGCTAATAGCTGACAGTTTAATGCACAATGTTTGACATTGTAATTAACTGCACTTCTGGAGTCTGAATGGAATCTAAGAAAGCTGAATAAAATTCTGGATTCATTTTTTACTCAAAATATTGTAAAAACAGATATCCATATAGAATAGCGGAATGAAATCATATGATATCATGCATTTATTTTCATTAATGCAATTGACGTTCCCAAAAAGAAAATAAAGAAATCACATCATTAAAGTTGTAATTCACCACCAGGTAGTCAAAAGGAAAAAGCAATTGAAAAATTTCAGCTGATGAAATGAAGTTTTGAAAGTCCCTTTACTATTATGCTAGTTAACTTTTGAGCTGTTGAAAGATAACTTTAGCTAAAAAGCCTAAAATAGAACCAAATATAACTTCTCAGCCACATGGATGATGGAACGTTAGAAAAGATCGATCAAAAACATGTAATGCTCTTTTCATGACCGATCTTGAATAATATCCATTTGTGCTCACATCCAGCCCATTATACCTAACTCTACAATTTCTTATTAAGAAGATGGTGAAATTGCTCTTTTATTCTCCCAGAGAAATAAAACCTTAAACTATGCCAATCAAAGTGAGTCTAAAACTTATTCCAAAACTAATGAAAACACAAATTATAAAGAGCAGAAAGTACCAGAAGCGCAAAGCACAATGCAGAACCTGTCCTAGACAACATTTTAAAGACAAGGATTTGATAAAGCACGAGCAAAACTGACCTTATTGCGTACAAGTTCACTGATGATCTCAGCTAAAGGGTTTAGAGACTCTATAGTGATCGTACTTCCAGTCCTGCAGAAATTTTTGTGGAACCAAAAATAAAGTACCCGTGAACTGTAGCATTACACTTATAATTCATAAAACACGTACTTCTATTAACCAAATAAAACAAATCAAGCACGTACTTCTCTATAACAAGAAGAGAATCCTCTTGCTTCTTCAGAAATTCAAGAGCCTCCTCAAGCCTTCCAGCATAAAAGTGAGCCTTCACGATAAGGGACCAGCACCAAGTCTGAGACAAATAGTCTCTCTCTGCATCCAAGCTATTAATTACTGATGTAGAGGTACTGAGCTTCTGCCCACAAAACTGAATTACATCTTCATATCTTTGTAGCTGCATGACAAATTCAAAAGTAACCAACTTCAAATAAAAGATCATAAGTTTTTCAACTTTCAACCTAAGCTAACTTGGATACATACCGTAAAAAGAGCAGTTGCTTTCATTTCAAGCAACTTCTCTGAGTGAGGACTTATGATCAGCGCCTCATCGAGTAAAGACAATGCCGTCAGTATATCAGCAGATGCTCCTTCTCCCAAAATATTAGTGCATTGAGCGACTAACTCAGATAATTTCTGGTGGCATGGTTAAAGATAGTAAGTTTCTCAATCTAAAATGAATAAACATTCCAGATTGAATTTAGTTTTCTACGATAATATGAAAATATATAGGTTTAAACCACTTCTCTGCTGATAGACATGCAAAGGAACCTGTGTAGTCATAACATGAAAATATCACATTTTCTGACAGCAAGATGACGACAAGGCTAGGCCTGAACATATAAGTTATGATCCGATTATTATAATTAAGGTTTTTTGTACGCTGGTGAAGAGGTTACGTAAGTTAGAATTTCCACCCATTTAATTCCTTTTACCACAGACCTAGAGTTTAAAAGCAGTGATTGACCATCAACACAACAATGTCAAGTAAGTTCTAAAGACTACTGTGATCAAGCCAAAATGAAGTTCAACATAGCCCACTACCTAGTAATATTTCTTTAAAGTCAACAACCGCAAACGCAGCTAAATGACTTAATTTGGTTATACAGGGTGAAAACATACACTTATGTTGAAAAATGAATAAGTTGTACTTCACAAAAGAAATTATAGTTGAGAAGTTACTATACAATATTTATCAACAGGGATATTTGTAATAATTATTACCATATTAATGTAAACTCCTAGATTTTGGGGTGCTACATATTATAATGTCTAAGGAAGCAGGTATGCACGAATCACAACTAAGCATATGCCACTATCTGGGCCCTCCATATGGACGATATCTTGAGATAGTGACAATCAAGAACATGTTTTCATAAATTAAGTGTCATGTCATTTTTTAAGTAAATTATTTCTAAGTCTTTTTCTTCATTTTCCTCTTTTCGTTAATGAAGTTCTCTATTTGATTCAAGCCCTATAGGTACATCTAAAAATCTCTGTTATTTATCCGAGGAGGGGCGTTAAAATGTAGATTAATATCATTCAAATCAACCTTCCAGTTCATACAAGTTTCCAAACCACATCTAAATTACTCACATGTCCAAACAACTTTTACCTACAAATCATTTTCAAGCACATTTCTCTCATTTTCTCACATGCAGGCTGAAGCAGCTGTTGCAACACAGAAAATAACAAATAAAAATGTCGGTTACAGATCTAATATTAGATGTTGAGAACTACACTAGCTTGCTACAATGGAACTCCAACAGCCACAAGCTTCCGTTGTCATTTAGTCCTTAATTTTCCCATTTCAAGAACAAACAATTTAACCTCTCCTTATATATTGCTAAATTTTAGATAAGCATTGCCGTTGCCTGATGGTGGTTAACCGTATCTTGTAAGAAAAGGCCATAAAATTCTAACTCTCAAGAATCAAAATGTGATGCATAAATGGTAGCTGGGTAACTAGCAACACAAAACCTTAGTACCTCTTGCATATGGATCTTGGGATTAAAGAGCTAACTGAGATAATAAGCACGCGTCTCGTTTCTACTTCAGATATCTTAAAACTGTCGAATGGTGTTGCATTGACTAATTCATGGAAATTAAGGAAGTGAAGAAAACAAAGATATTGTAAGAGGCATCGTCTGTATCTAGTCCCAAAAGGGTTGGTGTGAAAAAAAAAAAAAAATCTGCAGGAAGGTTGCTAGATTTTGTAAGAACACTGCATAGATCTAAGGTGTTAAGTATGAATTTGACTTTGGAGATCATTGAAGATAATGTGTACAAAACAAAGCTATAATCGCCACACACAAAAAGTTGACCACATCAGGTACAACGAAACATATGCCATACCTGTGCCCTTTCCAGGCCTTCAGATGCTTCAACCAAAAGCTTTCTGTCAACACAGATATCACTCCCAGCTTGCAAGCATTTCATATAATGCAATGATGCATTTTCGGAATCCCCTAGAGCAAGGTAGCAGCTACAATAACACATAGGCTCGTCAATACTATAAGTTTAAAGTTTCATTTCCTTCAACTGGAAAAGAAGACAAACTTGTAAAATAAAAAAGGAAAACCTGTGCTAACAAGAAATGACAAAACTGGAACGGGAATATTGGCGGATACATCCTAACGTTTACCCCCAGCTAGCCAATTCATCCCAAACTTTTAAAATTGAGTGATTATATCCTAAGGTTTTTAAAATTGAGCGCAACCATCCCATGACCTGAAACAACACAAAATTAACCTAGTACAACAGGTGAAAGTTATTATTTTCTCTTTCTTTCTCTCCCTCTCTCTTAATTTTTAATATTTTTTAATAAAAATTTTTCAAATCTGGTTATGACCTTATTATGAAGAAGCAATTGATTTTTTATCTTTTTCTTTATTTTTTAATATCTAAATAATGCATGGTGGATTTTGATTCCACCTGTTTCAAACATAAATTGAAACCCTTACCTATGTTTGGATCTTTTTTCAATGTGTGTTTTTAGGTATTTTTTGTAATTGTAAAAAGGTGTGTTGAAAATGTAAAAGATATGTTGAAATTGGACATTTATTAATAAACTATTATGAAAAAACCATAAAAAAAGTTCCAAGCAGATTGAAAACCGAGTGTTTTGTTCAGCAACGACAACGGTATTGGGAGAGATGGGGCGATGAATGACATAATTAACCAGACTAAAATAAAATGAAAAAAATTTAAAAAAATAATTGGCAAAAAGAAGTAAATACTAAACTAAGTAAAATTTATAAAATTAAGTAAAATTTACCTGTTACTCCAGGTTAACAACAGGTCATGGGATGGTTGCACTCAATTTTACAAACCTTGGGATATAATCACTCAATTTTAAAAGTTTGGGATGAATTGGCTAGCAGAGGGTAAACGTTGGGATGTATCCGCCAATATTCCCAAACTGGAACACATAGAATGAAAAACATTCTAGAGCCATCCAAAAACATATTACAAAGAATCATCATACTAAATTTATATGGGATAGCATGAATTAAAAATTTTACATTTTTTTACTGTTCTAACGGTTTATATAGAGAAGTTTGAAGGAAATCCTTATTTTAAACATAGAACATTCCAAGATCGCACAAGATGACAATACTCCACTATCTTCTCAAGATGCCGTGTCCGGAGAAAGTAGCAGCCGTTTCAGACAATAATCACACACTCTTTTTGTTCTTCATAATTCTGTTAATAGAGATCAAACTCCCAAGAGGATAACAAACAATATGCTACATAAGTAAATATACTTTTAAGTGCTTAGCACTTGATACCTTAAAGCTAGAAAAGATTAACGCCACACAATTACATAAAGGAAACTATTTACATTCACTGCACAGACCTTCCTTATGATAATGCTAAGATCTTCCAGGTGTTTTATGTATATATTGACTTCAAATATCATTCCATTCAATAAGCTATCAGCCTAAATTGATTTTGATAATCCCACTCTTGCAACCCGGCTGACCGGAAAACGCTTAATGGAGGTACTAAGTATAAGCTCAGTTTAGAGCAAAGTAACAAAGTGATGGAATATCATCATCTAAATTCTGTTGCAGTCATTATCAAACAAAGAAGTCCAGATCTGGAGAACTACAAGATCAGTGAAATTCCAAGGGGGGAAACAATGTAGTTTTGCGCGAGGAGGAGACGTGAGATCAGAAAGAACAGCAAAACTTAAGCAGAAAAAGATTAGCAGACACGTGAACACAGAAACTAAATAGAGGAAAAGTTACTGTGGAAAGCAGTTATTACTTTGCAGCGCGCACTTGTACTCTAATGAAACTAGGATCCAATGCGGCAGCCTTCTTGCAATCGTCTAGAGCTTCTTTTAATCTTCCAAGAGACATCCGTGTCGCTGCACGGTTACTATAGCATAACATCAAAGCCCTAAGGCAGCTTCTTGATGTTTCCATTTCAGAGATGGAATTCACCCCTTGAGAGTAGAAATCCTCAGCTTTAGATAATTCCCCAGTTGCATAAGCTTGATTGCCCCTGAGAGAAGAACACAATCTTTCAGATACTAATGATGTCCACAAGTATCACCAATGGCAAACACAGTGAGGCTAATACAATGAAAACAGAGTAAAACAACACATCATGACTAGACAACTGTTAAATATTACACAATAAATAGAGATGGTTGAGTGATGCATAATTCACACCTAAGTCGCCATTTCTCACAAGCTTCCTGAGCAGCTTTACTGGCAGCATTGCCAGTCGAAGTTTCCATTTTCACTTCCTCTTTTTTAACTGGTTCAGAAGTACTTATAATTTGCTTAAGTGATGGCAACGCATCACTGGTTTTACTTCTCTGCGGGGACAAAAGTGCAAAAGTTCCAGAAGCAGAAGAATAGTCTCCCCGCAAGGATGCCAATGAATCTTTGTAACTTGGTGATGAGCATCGCAAGTCATGACCGAGTTTAGGATGACCTTTTTTCTTGTAGTTACGTAACGATGTTGATGAGGGACCTTGATCAGCAGATGAAGCAGCAAAGACAAAAGCACTCTGACTATGATCTTCCCTTGAAGCCAAGCCGAATTGCTTGCCCTCATTATTTTCTTGCTGCTTCATCACTGATCCAGAAGTCGCTTCTGTGTCTATACTCTCAGCAAGTGTATCAATTGCAGTGACAAAACTATCAGTGCTATATTCCAAATGATCAGTTGCAGACTTAAAGCTTTCTGTCTCAGTTCCCGGAATAGACTCTTCCAAAGGATCCTCAGCAGCATTATCAGAAAGATCAGTAGATTCTTCTGCTTGCTCTGCTTTACATTTTTCATCTTCGTTAATAATTAAGTTTCCTGCCGCATCAACTTGGGTTTCAACTGTCATATCATCGGAGACCCCGGGTGACTCAGTAAAGGTAGAACCAACATGAAAAACTTCATCTGATGCCACCTCGGTTCCTTTTGAAGTATCATTGTCAGCCAGTGTTTCCTGATATGGAGAAATATCCATAGGAGAATATGGTTCACAAGACTCATCATTCTCCTCTGAACTTTCCCGCAATACAAACTCTTGTGAGGAATGGCCTGGATTGAGACTTCTTAATTTTCCTTTCTTTTTCTTCGCTCTAGTGGTTTTGGTTGACTCCCGGTTAATGTCCAGCTTCCTGATCAAAACGTCTTTCGAGTTTGGTGTTTTAAATTCCATAGCTTGAGTTCCTATATGATCCCACTGGCTAGTAAAACCAAAAGGAACTTTCTTGTCGTTATTTCCTGACTGTTGTACCTTGAACAACTTGCCACCATCCTGCGAGAATGATGATGATGGCAATGAGGCATCCACGGAATGCACATGGGTACCTCCTAAATTCTCATGGGAAGGAACTGATTCAGAAGAGCAACCAGGTTCCCCTACACACCAATTTTGAGCCTGCACCTCATTAGCTTCAGCAGTAGTAGAATCAAACACATTTCCATATCCACCATCCAATTTCAAGCCCTTTAATTCTCCTTCAACACGACCATTAGCAAAACAATATGAACTTGTCGACCCTTCTTCGCAGTCCAAATTACTCTGCTGATCAGGAAAAGATTTTTCTGAATAACTAACATTATCTTTAATATTCAATTTCTTCAATTCGATGGGAAGTTCACCCCCCAAACTTCCAACATTGCCATCATGATCCACACTCAACTGCCTCAACTCTGAGGGCAAATCGTAAGCTGCCATCTTTTCGAATTCGTTCATCTTCTTCTTCGTAACCCCACCCATACTAATTCCCAAATTGCTCAACTGATCAGCAGCTTCAAGTTTCTCCATGTAATTATCCAAATTCATACTCGACAAGCCACTATCATCACCATTATTTGCACTCTTATTGGACCCAAATACAAATGCATCACCATTCGGACCAAGGCCGCCCACATTCCTAACACCTGAACCCAAATACATCTCAGGCACCGGTCGAAATGGATTGAAACCCGGTTCATGGTTCTGCGTGGAACGGGTGTGATAAATTGGGGTTGGTTTTTTCTTCCGGCGAGCAACCCGAGCAGCTGCTATCGTCGATGACGTTTCCCCCGGATTGGTCTGACCCAATGCCGGAGATTTGAACCCGAAACTCGGGTCCATGTAAACAGTATCGGAGGCAACCGAAATCGAAGGACTAACACAATTATCAGAAAACTCAAATGAAGAGAAAATAATCTGACCGTTAGGGTTTGAATGGATGGTGGCGGAGTACGACGGAGCTCCGAGAGAATCAATCAAGACCGGCGACATAAGTCATCTAATCAGGGCCATAATTAAAACTAACATTGTTTCCTTCAGTTCTCTGTCTGATCAAAAAAGATGGGAGCTTATTTCTTTTTTTTTTTTCTTTTTTCTTTTTGGTACTCTTTCTTTTTCTTTTTGAATATAGGAAGGAAAGGGAAACAAGTCCCAAACAAACACACAATCTTCTGTGCTTTTATTAATTTTAATCTTTATAAATTTTATTGATTTGGACACAAAAAAAAACCAAAAAACAAAAAAAACAAAAGTATTATAAAACTAAGGTCTAAATATAATGATCCAACGCAAAGGTAACTAAAATTTAATTAGTGATGATAGTTATTTAACTTATATACTAGAGACTTTATTATTATAATTTTCTTACTACTTGAAATAATATGATATATCTTATGAGATTTAAGAAGAAGGGGAGAAATTCACTTTATAAATTAAAGACGTAAAGAAAACGAAAGGGAGGAATGAGTAAGTTTTTCGGTACATTTTTCACTTTGGAAAGTCACATATATATAGGAAAATTTTGGCAGACATTTGGCCTCAATTTTCCTCCTTCACATTTAATGTAATTATTCTAGTGGGTAAATATTTTTGACTTTTTTTTTGTCATTCACTTATTTACAACACTCCCCCTTGAATGACAAAATAAATTACACTAATTATATATACTGCCTTGTTAAAAACCTTGCTAAAATAAAAACCCAGTGGGAAAAAAAAATTAGCGAAGGGAAAAAGAATGCAGTACGTAATTGTCTCCCCCTGATGATAATATCGATAATTCTTCACATGCTGTGTAAATAACGCATTCCGATGTTATGAATATGCTTTCTGAAAAGTGTTGTAAGAAGTGATTTTGTGAAGAGATCAGCTGAGTTTTCACTGGATACGACGTATTGAACATGAATGTCATTATTCTTCATGAGCTCTTTGGTATATGCGAAGAACTTTGGAGGGATATGCTTTGTCCGTCATTCTTGATATATCCTTCCTCTAATTGGTGAATACAAGCTGCATTATCTTCATACAAAATAGTTGAAATTTTCTCAACTGGAAGACCACAAGAAATCTTGATGTGTTGTGTCATTGACCTGAGCCATACAGATTCTCCACTTGCTTCGTGCAATGCAATAATCTCGGCATGATTTGAAGAAGTAGATACTATTGCTTGTTTCTGGGAACGCCAAGAAATTGCAGTTCCTCCATATGTAAACACATATCCAGTTTGAGATTTTCCATGATGAGGATTAGATAAATAACCTGCATCTGCATAACCAATTAACTCTTGTTTCGAGTCGTTAGAGTAAAATAAACCCAAATCAATACTTCCTCGAAGATAACGAAATATATGCTTGATTCCATTCCAGTGTCTTTAATAGGAGATGAACTGTGTCTTGCTAACAAATTGACTACAAAAGAAATATCAGGTCTAGTACAATTAGCAAGATACATAAGAGCTCCAATTGCACTCAGATATGGTACTTCAGGACCAAGAATCTCTTCATCATCTTTAACAGGACGAAATGGATCCTTTTCGTCATTAAGTGTCCTGACAACCATTGGAGTACTTAAAGGATTTGCTTTATCCATATTAAAGCGTTGTAAGATCTTTTCTGTATAATTGATTGATGCACAAATGTTCCATTATGCATATGTTCAATTTGTAAACCAAGACAATACTTGGTTTTTCCAAGATCTTTCATTTCAAATTCTTCCTTTAAGTATGCAACCACATTATCAATTTCTTTATGTGTCCCAATGATGTTCAAGTCATCAACATAGACAGCTATGATGACAAATCCAGATGTTGTTTTCTTAATAAAAACGCATGGACAAATAGCATTATTGGTATATCCCTTATTTTGTCAAATAATCACTTAAACGCTTATACCACATGCGTCCAGATTGCTTTAACCCATATAATGATCTTTACAGTTTAATTGAATACATTTCTTTGGGTTTTGAACTGAAGCTTTAGGCATCGTAAATCCTTCAGGGACTTTCATATAAATATCACTGTCAAGTGATCCATACAAATAAGCAGTCACAACATCCATGAGACGCATTTCTAATTTTTCAGAAACTGCTAAGCTGATTAAGAATCTAAAAGTAATAGCATCCATAACAGGTGAATACGTTTCATCATAGTCAATTCCAGGTCTTTGTGAAAAACCTTGAGCTACGAATCTAGCCTTGTATCTGGTGATTTCATTCTTCTCATTTCGTTTTCGTACAAAAACCCATTTATATCCAACAAGCTTTGTATCTTTGGGTGTGAGAATAATGGATCCAAAAACATTTCGCTTATTAAGCGAATCTAATTCAGCTTGCATAGTGTCTTTTCACTTTAGCCAATCATGTCTATTTTGACATTCTTGAACTGATTTTGGTTCAGGATCATCACTTCCGTTCATAATTCCACATGCAACAGCATAAGAAAAAATCTCATCATTATATTCAATTTCATCTCTATTCCGCAGTATTTTTGAACTGTTATAATTGATTGAGATTTCTTCATTCACCTTTTCATTGTTTTCATCAAGAGAATCTTCTTTGCCTTTTGGTTCTTCAGGAACATTTTCATTGACATTATTTTCTGATCTCTTTCTTATTCGGGGATTTTTATCATTTGAACCAATCAGTCTCCCACGTTTTAAACGAGGTTTAGACCCTTGAGAGACTTTATCCTCAGATTTTATTTCTGGGATTTCAATACGAGCAGGAGCATTAACTGCTGGTATATGTGATTTAGTCACTCTTTTTGTATCAGTAAAAGCATCTGGCAATTGATTTGCAATTGCTTGTAAGTGCACAATCTTTTGCACTTCTGTTTCACTTTGTTCGAAGATCAAGATACAATAGTGATGGTTCATTCCATGCGATATCATTTACTACTTCTTTTCTTTCTCCCCCTAATCTTGGAAAAATAACCTCATTAAATTGGCAATCAGCAAAACGTGCTGTAAAAACATCACCTGTCAAAGGTTCAACATATTTAATTCTACTGGGTGATTCGAACCCAGCGTATATTCCCAATCTTCTTTGGGGACCCATTTTTGTGCGTTGCGGTGGCGCAATGGGTACATATACTGCACAACCAAAAACTCTAAGGTGTGAAATATTTGGTTCAAATCCAAGTGCCAATTACAATGGGGAGTATTTATGATTAGCACTAGGTCGTATTCTTATTAGTGAAGCAGCATGTAATATTGCATGGCCCCAAATAGAAACAGGTAGCTTTGTTCTCATAATTAATGGTCTAGCAATAAGTTACAGTCTTTTAATCAATGATTCTGCTAAACTATTTTGTGTATGTGCATGAGCAACAGGATGCTCAACTATGATTCCAGTAGACATACAATAATCATTAAATGATTGAGACGTAAATTCACCAGTGTTATCAAGTCTAACCCTTTTTATTGTATAGTTTGGAAATTGAGCTCGTAGTTTTATGATTTGAGCTAAAAATCTTGCAAATGCAACATTCCGGGTTGACAATAAACATATATGAGACCATCTGCTGGATGCGTCTATTAAAACCATAAAATATCTTAATGGTCCACTTGGTGGATGTATTGGTCCACATATATCACCTTGAATTCTCTCAAGAAACATAGGTGATTCATTTTGGATTTTTAGCGGTGAAGGCCTCAATATCAATTTTCCAAGAGAACAGGTTGTACGTGACAATTCATTACTTTGAGGTATCCTTTGTTCTTTCAATGGATGTCCATGTGTATTTTCAACTATCCTTCGCATCATTATTGAACTTGGATGGCCTAGTCTTTCATGTCATAAATTTATCATAGAAGGATTTTGTTTCATTGTCATGTTTGATTCAATGTATGTATAATGCAAACCATTGGAAAGCGGTAACCTTTCAAGTGTTTGAAACTTTTCAGACTCATATCTAATGATTTTCAAATATTTTACACCATCTATTGTCATAGATTGTGTATCATACCCATTTCGGTATATATATCATCAAAACTCAACAAATTTCTTCTGGAAGTTGGTGAGAACAAAGCTTCATCAATCACAAATTTTGTTCCCTGAGGCAATGTAATTCTGGCTTTGCCAATTCCTTCAATCAAGTTTGCAGGACCTGATATTGTATACACAATTGCCTTTGTTGGTTTAAATTAAGTGAAGAACTTTCTATTTTCAAGATAGTATGTGTAGTGCCACTGTCAGGTATACAAAAATCACCAAAGCCGCTTTTAAGTTGAGTTCCACTATGATTTTCAAGACTTCAAAAACAGAAAATAAATAATCAACACGTATCATAAGGAAAAACATTAAACATGAATATTTTACATAAATTCATTACAATCCAATACGATAATACAACTTCAAACATATATTACAAATACATTTATTTTCATCAACAAAAATACAACAACTCAATAACATATATCCACTTATGTCTCAATTATCAGCATAATCATCAGTGAAATTAGAAGCATTTAGATGTGTTTCCCCATTCTCATTATCACAAAGCTCATTGAGATTAACTTCCTTTCCTTTACCCTTTGATGCGGCATAAAGATCACAAAGGTGTTTTGGAGTTCTACAGACCTTTGCATAATGACCTTCAGTACCACACCTGTAACATGCATCTTCAACATTCTTTTGAGATTTTTCTGGAGCATCATTCTTGGTCATTTTATTTTTTTTTTGAGGGTGAGCTATTTGTTCATATGGGGTATTACCATGATTATGGCCAGAAAATTGTTTACCTCCATGGCCATTATAGCCACCACGCCCGCCATAGCCTCCATGACCGCCATGGCCACCACGGCCGCCACGGTTTTGATCACCACGACCCCGACCCCGACCACGACCTCGGCCTCGGCCACGTCCACGACTATTAAAATTTCCAAAGTATCATGGAAGTAAGGCATTTGCTTTAGGATATGCCATAGAGCCAGTAGGTAGTGATTGATGATTCTTTATCAAAAGTCTGTTGGCATTTTCTTCTTGTAAAAGTGCTGTTGACAAATCGGAATAATGCTCATACTTCATCAATCCATGAGCATTTGAAAGAATAATACCAGATGGATGAAATATTGATAGAGTTTTATCTATCATTTCCTTTTGAGTCATAGGATGTCCACAAAATTTTAATTATGAAACAATTTTGAACAATGCTGAATTATATTCATCCACACTTTTAAAATCTTGGAATCGTAATGATTTCCATTCATCAATAGCATTTGGTAAAATAACAGCTCTGTTATTATCAAATCTAGAAGTAATACTTTTCCAGACAATACTTGGATCTTCTTGATCAATGTATTCATTTTGCAAACAATCATCAAAATGTTTGCGAAGTAATATCAACACGGTTGCCTTATCCTTTTCTGTGGTAGTATTTTTCGGTTTTATAGTATCAGTGAGACCCATTGATCGTAGATGTGTGATAACATTTATTTTCCAACACATATAATTTTGTCCAGTGTGTTTGAGAGCTTCAAACTCGAGCTTTGATAAATTTGACATCTTTGATAACTAGGATAAAGAAAAAAATCGCAGTTACATTTAATAATGAATAAATCTTACAGTAAATAATGCTAACAATTTATTCAGTAAATATAGCAATGAAGTACAATGGTAAAATACACATTATAAGAACTCCAAAATGAAAAATGAAATCATCAAATTCTTCTAGAAAAAATATCATAACAATATATATACTAACTATTATAATGCTAAAGAGAGAAAGGAAAGACATTTTTTCTTCTTGAAAATAAGAAGAGAAAGAAGGAGAATATTGTCAATCATCTCACCATAGATTACATATAGTATATAGGGACATAAAAAAAACATCCATCATAGATTAGATATAGTATATAGGGACATAGAAAAACATCCCACCGTAAAAAATCTAAATAAAGATATGAAAATAAATGTATTAGGGATATATGAAGTCATCACACAAGAATGTAAATTATAAAAATATTTACGTAGGGATATATTAAAGAATCCCACTATAAAAATAAAATTCAAGACTTGAGAAAGGACAAGTCTTTAAATAAATTGCAAGAAATTAAATGACTTGAATATAAATTAGGAGAAGTTATAGAACCATCCATATGAAATGTAAATACTGGGTAAGAAATTTTATACCTTTGTGGATTGCGGAGACATCGTGCTGATAACGTGTTATAAAACTAATGTCTAAATATAATCATCCAACGCAAAGGTAACTAAAATTTAATTAGTGATGATAGTTATTTTGACTTCTATACTAGAGACTTTATTATTATAATTTTCTACTACTTGAAATAATATGATATATCTTATGAGATTTAAGAAAAAGGGGAAGAATTCACTTTATAAATCAAAGACATAAAGAAAACGAGAGGGAGGAATGAGTAAGTTCTTCGGTGCATTTTTCACTTTGGGAAGTCACATATATATAGAAAAATTTTGGCAGATATTTGGCCTCAATTTTCCTCCTTCACATTTAATGTAACTATTCTAGTGGGTAAATGTTTTTGACATTTTTGTTGTCATTCACTTATTTACAACAAAAAGACTATTTTCTTGATTTCTATTTACTAGAAATCTTATCTACCAAGACATATAATCTTGAAAATTTTTGAAGATAAAAGTGTATAGAGAAGAGAACTTTGCCCCTACGAATCCCGCAACAGGGTGGTTTTGTGCGTTGACAGGCGGCGTAATCAAATGAAATAGTGGAAGTACGACTCGAAAGAAAAGCAAGTTAAAAGGGGTATAGATATCAAGACAAAAATGTGTGTCAATAAGATATTAATGGGTGAAATTATTGATGAGCTTTCAATTTTGACCCTATTGTTGGAATTAAGTATATGGATTGCAGGATGATACAGCGCAATGGCGGAGCCAGACTCTAGAGGTATGGTGGGGCAAAAATTAAATTTACATTCTTGTTACCAATTTTTTAGAAATTTGGTGAGACAAAAATGAAAAAAAATTCTAGTAATATCATACTAGTTTAAGAATAATTGGGAAAAAAAAAGGTTCGTGGAGCAATTGCCCCCACCATTAATGTATGTGGCTCTGCCACTAATACATCGCAAATAAAATTTTTTTTGTGAGTATAATTGGACGGGTAAGTTAACTGGGTGGAATTGATTGGAATAGTTTCTAATTATCGTATCTAGTGCACCCGGGTGTACCGTATACCCCCCCCACCAAACACACGCTCACCACGCGCTCAACTGTTTTTACCTTTATATTAAATGTATATAGAAAGTTATTTTCATCAATTTTATCCTCACGCATAAACACACACAAACACACAGTCGACGGAAACTCTCCAATTTAGGGCAAACCCCCCCACACACACAGACGACGGCGAGAAACCCTACGTCCGGCTATCTCAAGCTCTCCTTCATCTATACATGCTTCACTGGTAAGTATATTACTCTGGGATCCTTCTGTGTATCCACTAGATCTGAACTATTTATCCATGGTTTCCTACGTATGCTATGTGATTGTTATCCATGCCATAATCTCCGGTTATCCATCTATATCATAATGACATTTGTTATCCGTCTATTTCATTCTAGTTATCCACAAGTTGTAGAGTGGTTATCCAGAAGTTGTAAAGTGGTTATCCACAAGTTCTAAATTGGTTATCCATGTTTTTTTTTACATTTTATTCTATGTGGCATGGTTTTGTGTTTTTTTTTTGTTACTTGTTTAGGGTTTAGGGTTTAGGGTTTCTGGTTATCCACCAATTTTAACTTGGTTATCCGCATGGTTTAAACTGGTTATCCACCCATTATTTGCTGGTTATCCACCCATTTCATAGCTGTTATCCACAAGTGGTAAACTGGTTATCCACAAGTTGTAAACTTGTTATCCATGGTTTGTTTACATTTATTCTATATGGCATGGACAAACTGAACTGGTTATCCACTATATATCTGAAATGGTTATCCAAGTTTTCCTGCGAGTGTGGTATTGGGTGCTTGTCCAAAATTTGTTTCTGGTTACCCACCCATTTTAACTTGATTATCCGCGGTGTGTAAACTTGTTGTCCATTGTTTTTTTTCGATGTGTTTTTTATCTGGCTACATGTCCATACATTATTTGCTGGTTATCCACCCATTTTATACTGGTTACTCCTTTTTTGATTACTACTCCTTTTTATATCCTGCTATTTTGTCCACTGACTTCTTACTGATTGTGCAATGCCAACAGTGCCCTAAAGGAGGCTAGAACAAAATATAGGCACAATTGGATCAGCGCAAGTCACGACCTCCAGTGCAACCCAGACAGATCACCGGATCCTGAACCAGAGAATATAATGGAGCTCCCTGAAGGAATACTGACCATATATAAAAAACAAAAATCAACCCAAGAAGAACAAGAAGAACAGTCCCCTGTACAAACTCCAAGGACCCAAAACTTGTGGAGAAAACCAAAGAGGAAGAAGAGCACACCGACAGGAAATCCAAAGCAACTTGTGGTTGCTGATGACAATGATGATAAAAAGCCCAAAAAGAAAAGAATGAAACCTGAGAACAACAAACTGATGATTGGTCAAGATCCACGGCCAATCAGTTCTGAAGATTACGTCAAGAAATTTGAGACAAGGATGACACCAAACCATCTTTTCCAACTCATCTCTGAAATCAATAAACCAACAGATCTTACAAAAGAGCCAGATGCGGTAGATTATCGCCAACTACAAAGGCAAAGCTATCGAGATATGGGATTTGGCGCCTTCTTTGGATCTCAAAATCAAAAATATTCCAATGACCTTGTGTAATTTTCTGGCAAGCAATTTCCAGACCGGTGCAAGACAAGTCCCATTGAATGGGAACAATGTACTGGATATCAAACAGGAAGATGTTGTTGCTGTACTTGATCTTCCTCGTGGACCCAAACCAGTGGAAGAATTCAAACAGAATGATCCCGCTATAACGGACCACGTGAGATGGTGGATGCATTCAAGAAAAGAATGGGATACAGTAATAAATTCCTGCCAACGAGATCCACCGCGGCACAATTAATTGCTGGTCGAAAAGATTTTGGTGACGACTTCAAACGAGATTTCCTCGTCTTCGTTGTGAGCATATTCCTACATGGAAACACCACTTCCAGGATCACAATGAACATCCTGAAGTCCCTCGTGAACATCAATGAAGTGACACAATACAATTGGTGTCAATATGTGATTGATGCACTGGTGAAAGGATGCAAAAGTCACCACGATGGGAAACCATTCACTGGACCAATCACTTTTTTCCTGGTACTTACCATATCCGTACAAATTTTACTAGTTATCCATATTGCTTGCAATGTTTATCCAATTTCCTTCTACTTGTCTGATGTGATTGTACTTGTCATCCAACTAATTTGTACTGCTTGTCCAACCCTCTTTTTCCCCTTTAAATGGTTATCCATTGTGTTCCTGCCGGTTATCCAGCCTATTTGAACTCATTATCCACTTCATTTGAACTGGTTATCCAATCTGTCTAATTTGTACTGCTTGTACTGATATCATTAACACCAATTTTTTTTTTTTTTTTTTTTTGTTAGTTGTGCTACCTTGACAGGTGTGAGTATGAAAGAGCACATCCGAGGTCATTCCCTGTGATCAAATCTTGGGATCAACAGATGCTGGACGACAGAATAAGACTTCAGGGATGCAATTTCACAGATGTCCAGACACTTGAACGTCTCAAGAAACCGTCCTCAGCAGCATCCCGAGATGAACAACCAGAGGCGGAATCACAGAAGGAGGATACACAGGGAAACCCCAACACACAGCAAGTCTATGTACTGTTCTACCATTTTTTTTCAGATCAAACTTACGTATCCAACCTAGCATCTCCACATTCCACTAACTACATTCAATTTTGCAGGACCTTGCCACTCTTTATGAAAAATTCTACCAATTGATTATCACGATGAGCAAAACTGTTTTAGACATTCGTGAGAAGGAAATGGAGTTAAGAATTGAACCAGATGAACAAGCAAAGCAAACAATCAAGATCCTATCAGATGCAATGGTGTCGATGAGTAGAAAGATGCCTCCGCCTTCAGGTACAACGCAACTGGAACAAGAGCAGCAAAGAACACCAAGCAAGACCTCCGGGATGCACAGATTTGTGAATTGTGCGAGATGGCATGGAAGTCCGCTGAAAGCAGATTTGCAACAATCATAGAACAGCTGCAACGACAAGTAGCTGACCAACAAGAACAACAGCAACACCAACAAACTGATGACAATACTGTAGAAGCTCCAATTAATCTCGCAAAATTTCAAGACATTGAAATTGACAAAGCACAGGGACTGGAGCAATTGAGCCAGACAAATGATGAGCCTTCTATTGCAGTGGGGAAATCTGTGCCTACTTCAAAAGAAGTGGTGGTTGATGAACCACAAACTCAACTACAAGGGGCACAGGGACTGGATCAATTGAGCCAGACAAATGATGAGAATTCTCTTCCAGTGGGGAAATCCGTGCATACTTCAAAAGAAGTGCTGGTTGATGAACAACAAACTCAACCACAAGGTAATGAAACAAATACTTGTCTGATGTGATTGTACTTGTCATCCAACTAATTTGTACTGCTTATCCAACCCCTTTTTATCCCTTTAGATGGTTATCCATTGTGTTTCTGCTGATTATCCATCCTATTTGAACTGATTATCCAATTCATTTGAACTGGTTATCCAATCTGTCTAATTTGTACTGCTTATCCAACCCCTTTTTATCCCTTTAGATGGTTATGCATTGTGTTTTGCTGATTATCCATCCTATTTGAACTGATTATCCACTTCATTTAAACTGGTTATCCAATCTGTCTAATTTGTACTGCTTATCCAACCACTGTTTATCCCTTTAGATGTTTATGCATTGTGTTCCTGCTGATTATCCATCCTATTTGAACTGATTATCCACTTCCTTTGAACTGGTTATCCAATGTGTCTAATATATATGTACCTTCGTACTGATTATCCAACATTCCAACTTTGTACTGCAGAACATGCAACGAATGTCTCCACGACAAAAAAGAAGAGATCCCATCAAGATTCCACCGGCCGGGATTCAGCTGTGACATCCACCTATACCAAAAGGTCGAGAAGCACTGGTACCAGGAAAAGGAAAGCATTGAAAGACGCAACTATCCCAAGCTTTAACCTATGTATCTTCTCCAGTCAGGAAGACAGTTACGAGACAACCCAGGAGAAGAACACTCAGGAAGATGTCACAGGAAGGGTTGATCTGGATAAAGATGTGAATGAGACTATAGAAGCAGAAGAATATCCAGTACCATCTGCTCTCGAAGAAACAAAGAATCCCATTCCTTCCATCGATGAAATTATAACAAGGGCCAGTGCACCAGCTTCAGAATTGTTGAGTGATATAGAAAAACTAGAGATCATTGCGGCTGTTGCAGAACAAGTTGAGAAAAACCTAGAAGTGGTTGAAGCAATCCCTTTAAGCATAATTCCACCCGATTGGAATGTTGCTTCTACCACGGGTCATCTACTCATGCTGGACAAAAATGAGTGTACCACGCCACCGCCTGCAATCTCAAAGAAAGCTGAAGTACTTGATGAAGGGTTAACAAAGACAGTGGAAAAGTAAGTTTGATCCACTGTGAATGCTCACAACAAAATAGAAAGACGAATTTACATACTAACTCTCTTTTGTTTTTTCCTAGGATCCTCAATCAAAAACCTAGGAGGAGAAATCTAACAAGAATCCACCGGTTGCCCGAATGGTTCAGGTCGCCGTTCATGCTGCAGAAGAAAAACAAGAAAAAATTCATACAGTTGATAGAGGAGAAGAAGAAAATGACCGAAGAAGAAGCTCTGTTGATAGACTTCGCTCTCTTGCAGAGACAAGAAGAAATAGTTAAATCAGGGTAAAAGCCACCATCCTTACCCGTGCGATAAAAAACTTACCAGTTTTCCAACTATTTGTCTATTTGACTACTTTTTCTATGCAGGAATTTCTTGTTTGAATTTGGAAAAATTGTTTGGGCAGACAGGACAGCATTCTATTCCATGAGGGAAGGCATATGGATAGAAAACAGCATCATAGATGCTTGGGCTGTCATCCTAAACAAAGAAGAAGCTAAAAGTGACTCCCCAAGTCGGATATTCTTTGGTGTTTCCGTATTTGTAAGTCAACTAAACCGTTATTGTTTATCCATTCCTGGTAAAATACTTGTCACATGTCTGCAAGTTGTTTATCCAAAGGCTTTCCACTAGTTATCCAGCCATAACAGGTGGTTATCCACATTCTGTAAACTAGTTATCCAGCAATAATTGCTGGTTATCCACATTCTGTAAACTAGTTATCCATGCCTTTTTTTAGTTGTGCTTCTATGCGGCTGCTTGTCCATACATTATTTTGCTGGTTATCCATCATTGTTGTATAACTGACCTACCTATAAGTAATCATCAGGAAGATCATGCATGACTACTAACACTTATTATCCAGTTTGTTACTAATGCTTGTCCATCAGAGTTCAACTTGTTATCCATTCATTCTTGTTTGTCATCTAGGGTACTTTTGGTTGATCTTGTATGTGCTTGATTCCGATCATTGTTTTCTACTGCATTTTCCAACCATTGTACTGATCATTGTATCATTTTCCAACCACCCCAAACAACAACGCAGGATACAATCAGTCGATACAACCAACCGGGCAGTAACAAAGAAGAACTAGAGTTTACATTCTATGAGAGGTTGGCTCTTGAACTAGAAGAACAAGGACTCAGTGTAGGATCCCTGATAGTGGCAAAAGCTGTAAGCAACATCTTTCACCTCCTTCACTCTTTCTATAACTGGCTGTTAAAAAATTTTCTTATGATTTCCCCTTTCAATGTGAAAAATCAGATCTACTTCCCAGTACATTACCGAGAGCATTACTTCTTGTATGTGTTGCTGGTTCAAGAAAAGAAAGTGCTTGCATTCAACAATCTTCATGCAAAAGATCTACTTGTGAGTGAAAAAAAGATACAAAATAATTGTCATACTTTAAGAATTATCCATTTCATTTTGCTGATCCTTGGATTTTATGGCATCACAGTTTCGGTTCTTCCAAAGCTACATTGCATGCGTGTTTCCACGCATAGAACTGGTCAGTGCTCAGTACACCTTCACAAAGGTTACGCTACCATCGCACAACGACAAAAAGCCGAATGCGGAAGATTGTGGAATATTCACAATGCACCACATGGAGAAGTATGATGGTGGTGACTACGACGACGGTACAACTTTGGATTTCCATACAGGAAACATCAAAGAGTACCGGTGGATATACATGTTAAAAATCCTTATGCACCCATCCAACAAAAATAAAGACAAAATCCTCGAAGCAATGCACCAGTTCTACACAAATACTGCTGAAGAAGAACCAAAAGAAATTCCAGATCATGTTGATTTAAGCAGCAAATCTTACTACAATGACAGAAAAATTCAGGGATGGGTTAAATGAACTGTCATTATCTTGTCTTGTATAATTGATTGACTGTTGTAGTCCAGATCATTTTGTAATGGTTATCCAGGATCTCTCTACTAGTTATCTAGCTTCAATATTTCCTTACTGATTATCCAATGCTCTGAATTGATTATCCAAGACTTTTGTACTGGTTATCCAGCCAATGTGCAGCAATATCCAACCGTTTGTAGTGGTTATCCATGATCATTGTACCAGTTATCCATCTTTTTAAACCTGATTATCCGAATGTTTTATAGTGATTATCCAGTCAAAAAAAATACAAGTACAGTCTTTAACCTGATTATACATGAGATTATACTTCTTATCCAAAAACTCAACACTGCTTATCCATATGTAACGAATGTTTTATAGTGATTATCCAGTAAAAAAAAAATGCAAGTATATTCTTTAACCTGATTATCCATGAGATTATACTTGTTATCCAAAACCTCAATACTGGAATCCAAACGGCATATTTATTGGGGGGCTTCGACCCCCATGATAAACTAAACGACTCCCGCGGCTACCGGAATCGTAGGTCACAAACCTGCCCCGGCTGCGCCGCCCCGCCGAACACGCCAATGTAGCTAAGGTAATCTTTTTTTCGTGTGTGTGTAAGGAGAGTGTGTTATTGCGTTAAGAGGAGACACAAATTAATTGTATAAATCCCTCCCGTGATAAATTAAACGACCCGGCTGCGCCGCCCACATGCCGAACAAGGCAAATTTCATAAACAGTGTTTGAAAAAATGAATGAGGGGAAGTTTGCCAAATGATGGAGAACAAAAAATGAATGAAGGGCAGGCCGTCTGACTTAACTAGCGGGCCAAACCCGACCCGGGAACGCAACCCGCTTCAGAATCCCGCCCAAATTCTGGAAAACCTGCCCCATTAGTGTGCACGTGTTCCAAACGGCGGCCGGGCAATCATAATAATTATCCTTTAGAATCCTTCGCCCGAAAACGTCATTCAATCATAATTGAGTGTGTTGGATAATGTACCATTCCTTCAACCATTCACCTGCTCTCTCCCTTTTTATGGGTATAAAATTCACTTTGTTTTTATTCTTTATGAAAAAATGCTGGTTATCCACAGTAAAATTCACTTTGTTTTTATTCTTTGCTCATTATCCAATGCTCTGAATTAATTATCCAAAACTTTTGTATTGGTTATCCAGGAATTTTGTACTGGTTATCCAGCCAGTTATGTAACTCATTTAAGGATAATCAACACTGGTTATCCACTTTGTCCATACTGGTTATCCATAGTGTGGAACATGTTACTGTGTATAACTGAAAACCACACGTTCTGTAATTAAATAGAATTTAAAAGATTGAGGGAGTATAAATAAAAAAAGAAAACTGAAAATGCTCATGTTTGTGCAGAGTACATCCACCATGATCTAATGGGTAGTTACAGAGCCACACGTTTTTACATGCAATGGATTGAATAAGAAGGATCAGTTACATAACTGTCATTAAATGAGTTTCTTGATCTGCACCTGGGGCTAAAACTCCTTCATTTGCACATCCACCAGAACGCCTGATTTGAGCATCCAAAACATCCAACAGCCAGAAAAAAATGAAAAACGAAAAAATTTCCTCAAATTCCACCACCAAACAAATGTCCCCAGCTATCATGAATATATCCATCACGATATGCTTGATAATATGTTCATTAATCTGTCATTGGAAAAGATTGGACAGTTCCGTTGTGTCAGCAAAGCTTGGGAGGAAATGACGAAAAGACAGGAATTTGTTCTTAAAAAACGTGAGATGAGCTACCCTGCAAGTGAAAACAACATCCTTGTTTTCACTCAAACAAGCCAAGAAGATCACCTGTTGCAAGACAAACTAATCGCCACCAACATAAAAGTACAAATGGATAACCCATGCAACCACATACGATTTCAAGAAGAGATGTCGATGGGTGACGACGACATCCATAAAATCATGCCTATCACCACAGATTTGATCTGTCTGCAAACCAGCTCTCAAATCAAATTCTTGAACCCAAATACAACACAACTTGCAACAGTTGAATGGCCATATGATGTCCCTCTCAGCAATTGTCAAACAGCATTTGGGTACGTATCATCCTCAAAAACTTACGTTTTCATGGCCCTTATTGCCGATGGAAAAAAACATGCAAGGCTGCATTTTTTCTTTTCAAAGTTGTTCAAGTATTCATAGAGGGGAATGGAAAACACTTTGCAATGTATGTCCTCGCCTTGTATATGATGGAACCTAGTTTGATAGATTCGTGTACTTGCGTGTAGACAAACTATCCTCTGAAATAGCAACACCTCAAGAGTTGCTGGTCGTGTTTGACTACCACACTCAACAATTCCAAACCATAAACTGCCCTCCATCTCCAATCTTCTTTAACGCCACTTATCCTTCTCATATGAATCTCCAAGCGAAAATATTGGACTTCCAAGGGACTATGCATGTAATAGATGAGTACCACATTACTCAGAATCATCACTGTGAGATGTGGGCATGGGATCCAGATACTTCCACATGGGATTGCACATTTGAGACCCATGAATTCCCAAATGTGAACACACACGTTCCACACGGATTACATTTCCGTCATGATTGGCTTTATCCAGTGTTCTTAAGCCACAAATCATCTCCAGCGGGACAGTTCATTGTCAAAGGATATGATAATCGTCATTTGTTGTTGTATAGTGTTCCTACCAGGAAAATCACACACTCAAGTATATCGCCGGATCTAGAAACCAGTTTCATCATTAGAGCATGTTACTTCTGGGAAACATTAACACACTTTTAGGACTTTGTACTAGTTATCTAATGATATTACTGGTTATCCCAGGACTTTGTACTAATTATCCAGATTATCTAAGCTGGTTATCCAATGTATTTTGGTTGTCCAAATATTTCTGTAAATTCCCAGACAACAAAAACTGAGTGTCCCAATTTCTTGGTCTTTCTATTTCTTTATTAAACTGCTTATCCTATGATGTTATCTTGCTTATCAACGACTTTTGTACTAGTTATCCAGCCAATGTGCAGCAATATCCAACCGTTTGTAATAGTTATCCATGATCATTGTACCAGTTATCCATCTTGTTACACCTGATTATCCGAATGTTTTATAGTGATTATCCAGTCAAAAAAAAATGCAAGTACAGTCTTTAACCTGATTATCCATGAGATTATACTTGTTATCTGTGTTCAACGTGTTCATGTGTTTTTTTGTAATATCTATATGCATTTAAAATTGCATATTCGGTACAGGCGAGTTAGATATCTAGTACAAACGAAATGGATATCCACTACAGACTAAATGGATATCCAGTACAAACAAGTTCGATAGGCATACAAACCAAATGGGTGGATATCCAGTACAAACAACTTGGATAACTAGTTCAAACTGGTTGGATAATCACCATGAACACAACGGATAACCACTTTAAAATAACCACTTGGATAACTAGTACAAACAAAATGGATAACCAGTTAAAACTGGTTGTATAATACTGCAATTTATAATAAATAATACTTTTTAAATAAAAATCTTTACGCCATCAATACTGTTCATTTCAACATCAAGTTAAAATACTAATAAAACATCTTGTTGAAGAAACGCTGCGCTCCAGCCTACCTGGCAGCTTCCCTTCGGTTAGGAAATGAGAACCCACCAAAGTTTTCATTCATGAATGTCATGTTTTGATGAGAAGGATTCACAGCAGCGGAAGTGCTTTCGCCTTGAAACTCCTGGCTAGCTCCCTTGGGAATTGGAAATGAGAATCCACCGGAATTTTGGTTGATGAACGGCATGCTTTGATCAGAAGCATTCACAGAAGTGGAAGCCCCTACCCATGAAAAATGCTGGGCAGCTACGCTTGGATTAGCAAATGAGAATCCACTGGAATTTACGTTCAAAGATGGCACGCTTTGATGGGAAGCATTTACAGCAGCAAAACTTCCTGAGCCTGTAAAATCTTGAGCAGCTCCATTTGGATAAGGAAATGGCATGCTTTGATAATGCAGGTCTGATGTAACTGAAGCTTTTGTTCGGTCTGCAGCAATTCTTGCATTTGTTTTCCTGCCTCTGACTTTGTTACATGCCTTCTCAACAATGCTTTTAGGACGTTCGTTCCTGGGACCAAACTTCTTCCTCTTTACAGCCGAATTCTTTATAACACCATCATTGTCTACAGACTCATCATTATTATTTGAACCAATGAAACTGCCGAGTTCTTCTTTAAGCCTGTCAACAGCCTCGTCACAACATTTCTTTGCATCTTTGTTATATTCACTTGCATATACCAAGTCTGAAAATCGTCTCATAATTAGTGCCTTCCACAGCAATGGCCCAGCAGCTTTTCCATCTCCCTCATTAGCTATGCTTGACCTGGCACCATAATCTTTTGTCCATCTCATACATATATAATCTTTAGGAAACTCATCAACACAGGTTACGTGACAGATTCAAAGAATGTGGCAACAAAGCATGCCCGCCTCAGAGTAGTACCTGCACGTGCATGAGAATCTTTGTAACCTAGTGTCATGTACAACCACATGCTTAAAGTGCTCTATCCCAAACCGCCTAACATGGTACGTCACAATATTGCCATCATTTGAGACCTCTAACTGCTCCTGCCTGCACAACATCCCATCTTTGTGCAACTGTTGAACCTCCCGGAATACTTCAACTGTGTACACTCTGCGAATGCTCTCCAGGAAAGGGTCACCGGGAAGATATGAATCGATGTTTCCCTGGCTACAATGGAGATCTTCACCCCTCACAGCTACCCACCAACAGTGTACAACATCAAAGAAAATTCCATGGAAATCACAAATTGATGATGTGGCCTTCATTTTACATCAAATTGCATTATTTGTTGACTCGCTCCTCTGTGAAAACAAGGTACCACCAGAAAAAAAAAATCTTTGCTAAATGCAGGGCACCACATATGCCTCACATCATAAATACCATTGAGCCATTTGTCATCATGACAATCATACTCATCCAATAATCTGTGCACAACAATATAAAACACATGCATAAAAAGAAAAATAGTTAGATTATCCATATAGTTATCTAGCCAAGAAAGCCTTTCTACTAGTTATCCAGCCATAACGGGTGGTTATCCAGAGATAATTGCTGGTTATCCACAATGTGTAAACTAGTTATCCAGTCATAGTTGCTGGTTATCCAGAATCTGTAAACTAGTCATCCGATCATTATGGGTGGTTATCCACAATCTGTAAAATAGTTATCCATGTCTTTTTTTAGTTGTGCTTCTATAACGTACCTACCACACAACGTACCTACCTATAAGTAATCATCAGGAAGATCATGCATGACCACTAACAAACACATACCCACACAACAAAAAAATAAGAGACACTCTTAATCATGGAAATGATCAAAATAATAATAAAAATATTGTCAAACTGACCTCCTCCATAATACCTCGAACTCGATTTCTGTTGAAGTGTATTTCATCAGATAATTAAAGTTCTTAACAAAATCTGGCTTGTGCCTTAAATGAGCAATTCGCTTTCTTGAATTTTCACCTATGTGCCATACACAGAGACGATGCCGAGAACTTGGAAAACATGTCCGAATACTTGAAGCAATGGAAGGTGCTTGATCTGTCATTATGGTTTGTGGCTGTTTATCTCCCATTGATTTCAAAAACTGCTTGAACAACCAATCAAAAGAGGGTTCTTTCTTGTTTAACACAAAACCACAACCAAACATGACATTCTTGTTATGATTATCCATACCCACAAATGGAGCACAGATCATCCCATATTTGTTTGTTCGATACGTTGTATCAAACACAAGCAAGTCACCAAACAAATTATAATCCTTTCGCATTCTGCCATCCCTCCAGAAGAAAATACACAGCCTACCCTGCTCATCACACTCAAAATCAAAGAAGAAATCTTCTTCAGTTTCCTTCCTGTCCCAAAAAATCTTCATGAGCTGATTACAATCACCACCTTCAAATCCAACACCAAGACGCTCATAATTGTAGACATCTCTCAAAGTATATTTCATGTTCGGACTTCCCCCGTGTAATTTTGCCACAAACTTAAATGCATCAACCAAAGGGATGCCACTCCTTTTCATGTCTCTGATTATCTTCATATCATTTTCATCTACTTTACGTTGAGATCGAAGAAGTCCAATCATTTCATTCGGCACAAGATCATGATTGTGATCAACTAGATGTTTTGTACAGGTCCACAAGCCATCTTTGTCAACAGTAAAATGGATATAAGCTGGACACCCACACCGAAACTTAACCCTCTCATGGCAAACATCACCATTTCCACTGGATCTCTTGTATCCTTCGTGGTTACAACAGAACTTCTTCATCCTAACTTTATCAGTCTTAACTCTAAACCTCTGTTTTCCCACTCTCACACTAGACCAATCAATCGGGCATGATCATTATACAAATCATAAGCTTCGTTCTCACTTCTTGCAGTCTTGCCAACTAAAGTAAAAACAGTCAAATCATTATTCTTCGTCACAGATGAAATTTCCTTGTGCAAGGCATCCTCCTCCACCATCACATTATCAACTCCCAATTCATCGTTGCTATTATCTTCTCCACATTCTAAGAAAAACAAAAGAGATGGTTGGATAACCATTACCATGCAGTCGGATAATCAGTATTAACACAATGGATAAACAAATCAGAAACAAAAATTTAAACACATATAACCAAGTTAGAAAACCTACCCTTCAGAGCAGATGTAACTTCTATGCACAAAGCATCATCCAGCATCACATCATCCCCCAACTCATTGATATGCTCTTTTACAAAAAATGAGACAAACAGAAAAACAAAAAATTTTAAAAAAAATCTTTGATACACCAATTATATATAAACAACTCAAAAATGTTGGATATCCAGTACAATCAGTTGGATATCCAGCAAATAAAATTTGGATACGCATGTAAATCAGTTGGATAACCAGTAGACATAAGCTGGATATCAAGCACAAACAAAGTGGATATCCAGTACAAACATTTTGGATATCCAACACAGCATAACTGCTTATCCACTTCATACAACATTAACAAAACCAGAACTGTGAAAAACTAGATTGATTATTCTCTCACAAACAGTACACTCCGAACTGTGAAAAAACACCAATTCAATATAAACAACTCAAAAATGTTGGAGATCCAGCAAATAAAATTTGGATACGCATGTGTATCAGTTGGATAACCAGTACACATAAGCTGGATATCCAGCACAAACAAAGTGGATATCCAGTAAAAACATTTTGGATATCCAACACAACATAACTGCTTATCATATTAACAAAAATAGAACTGTGAAAAAAACTTGATTGATTACCTGATTCCAGCTGATCTACAACAGAACTGTGACCTTGCGTTGATTTACTGGCACAGTAAGGTTGTTCGATGGATTTTCTACCACTACAGTCCGCATTCATCAAGACTTAATCATCAACGACATAACTCATCACTTGATCTGAACTAAGCATATTGTCGATCCAATCACCGTTTCGCCACTCTGGTAGAATCGAAGCCTTTCCTCGATCTCTGAACGCCGTTGCCGTCTCAACGCCGCCGGCCGTGTCCACCTCAACGCCACGATCGCCGACCCCCATTGCCGCCTCAATGCCTCGATCGTCGCCGGCCATCTCCCATCAATAATACTCTATCACAAAGTTTTACAAATTTGAATGAATTCGGTTATTTATATAACCCCGCGTTTAAAAAAAAAAGAAAAAAGAAAAAGAAAGCTGAATTATAATGGCGGACTAACGCTATTGTAAGAGAGTGAGGTACACGCGCATGGGGGGACACCGTACCCCCGGGTGTACCAGATAATTTGCCTCTAATTAATTGTTACTTGTGATTTTGCCCTAACAAATTGTAATAAATTATAGAGATTGCTAGTGATTACCTTATAAATAATGTTGAATTGTTTTTAAATTTTGTTCGGATGTCATTTAATATCCATATGTAACTCTAACATATCTATGCGCCCATGAAGTGAAAGAAGCAAAGAAAAAAAACCGATTCTAAGCATATCTATACTATCGTACTTGTCATAATGTGGAACTTCTGTGCCACCTAATGGAACTAGCTAATGAGGTAACCATTCTCGATCGTGACACATATTTGTTCGATCTGAATTCAAATACTCCTGAAAAAGTTAAGACTCCGTCATGGACTCAAAGAATTGATGCTTCCCAGAAATTTAAGAGTCCATCACAAACTCTTACTATTGAGGGTTTACTTTGTTCAGCGTAAAGTCAAATTTCCGTGAAGAGTATGCTGTGGAAGAAACTTTTCCCCTTTTCTCGATACTCCCTTATTTTTATTATATAAAAAATACGACAAACTTTTAATTAATGAGGCCCAAAAAAAATGCGCCCACGTGAACTCTTCCTCACCGTTCATGCTCTTAATCATATCTGAAAATCTGTAATACCTCGGCGGACTAATATAGATATAGATAAAAATAAAGTGAGGGGTATTTTCACGAATTTGTTGGAAACACCTTTATTGAAGAGCCCATAAGAGTTTTCTTCTTTTTTCTTTTTTCTTTTTTTTTTCGTTCAACCTGCACACACAACAATGTTAAAACGACGGTCATTGAATTCAAAGGAAAAGTATATTCTTAAATTGCAACATTTGTTATTTTTGAACAATACAAAATATTTTAAACTCATCCTAACATTGTCAGGACAAAACTACCCATAACGTAGACGTAAAGATTCATAGATAAAAGAATATAAAATGACAAAGATTAGAATACAGTACCTATGAGAGAAGTTTTCTTTCAAAGCAAATTACATTTAAAACCTTGGCTTATCTTTTTTTCTTGAAGCGAGCCAAAAGAGAGGAGTTTTTGAGTTAAAAAATAGTTCAAAAAAAGGAGTAGAGATAAATATAGGTCGAATTTTGGGGAAGAGTAAAATACCGATATCGGATTCCTAAAATCCGATTTTCCACCTAAATCGGATTCTCAAAATCCGACCTATTCTTAATACGAAAAATTAATGAAATTAATCAAGATTAAGAGAAGATCGGATTTTAAAAATCCGACCCTATTATATTAAAATAATATATTTTCAGAAAAAATAGTTTTTTTTTTGAAATAAAATTTTGACCAAAGTCGGATTTTTAAAATCCAATTTTAGCGTAAGGCCGGATTTCAGAAATCCGGGTAAGTTTAAATCGGATTTTGAGAATCCGTGTAAGTTAAGTTCGGATTCTCAAAATCCGATTTCTTTGTAAAAAAAGTAAAAGGTCGGATTTCTCAAATCCGACCTTGGACAGACTCTTTGAAAAAAAAATAAAGGATTGGTTTCTAAACCAATTCCAACCTATCAAAACAGCACCAAAACCAAATTTCACGAATAAAATTACCTATAAACACATTCTAAACACATCAAAACAAACATTAACAAATTCAAATCCCAAATCATCCAAATTACAACATTTATACATGAAAGAGTTATAAATTAAAGAGTCCTACAATTGAATTACTTTGACGACCTTTTCTTCCTTATAGCCCCGTCGCCGGGAGTATACTTCTTGGCCGGTTTACTAACCCTATCACTCTTGCGAACCTCGACCGTTTTCTTTTTCTTTTGGGAAGAAACACGAGGTAGAGAGGACTCTTCTTCTTCTTCTTCTTCTTCGCCCCTAATGTAGTAATCCTCATCGCTTTCATTGCCTTCATCATTTTCATCATCTTCTTGCATCGGAGTTGGATTGGGATGAACTATGATTGTTCGATCTGAAATTTCCGGTCGCTTCCTCCTTCCTCCTCCAGTAGGCTTCGATGTTGTTTTCTGCGTGAGTACCACATTTTGACTTGACTCAGGGGGTCTTTTCTGAAGAACTTGAGTATCGGACTGAGTGCTCATATCACGTGGGCCCAAAGTCAGGGCACTGAAACTCTTGTCGAAGATTTGGAAGAGTTTATCCTCTAAACTACCACCGAGGCTTGGATTTTCCCATAAGGCTGCATCAGCGAGATGATATATGTCGCTGAGATTTGAAGACTACAGAAAATTGAACCATGTGAATAAAGTGTAAGATATAGCAAGAATTAAATATAAAAAAAAATTTAAAATAAAATATCGATATATATCTTACATAAAATCTCTCCAGAGATGAAGACGAGTGATAACCCTGTGCCAGAGGGCCGTATTGAGTGGGATCAGTCATAAATCTGATAGTCTTCTTTTGAAACCACGGCATGTAGTCCGATGTGCATTGAGGACCTAGTTCCAGATCACCCAATTCATGAGGGACCACGTGCTGATCTCTCACATTCCAACGAGGTCGTACCTTAGTGTGTTTTTGCACCCAATCATCATATGCCTTTCCAATCCCAAGGCATCTGTGGTGTATCGCATTCCAGCGATCAATGTCATTGATTAGCGGGTACTCTGGCACAGTTTGGACGCATTGAAATTGACGAAGGACCCGATTGGGCTCGTATGGTTCTCTGATGGCCCAACAAAAGATCCACGTCCTACAGAGGTAGAAATTAACCCCCTCTTTACAGAAATCAGGGAGATCGTCGATGAAGGGAGTGTATGGAGTCCATAGAAACTGTCCAAAAATAAAAAATTGGTTAAAAAAATAGAGAAAAATATGAAAAGGAATTTTATCAAGCAACTTAAATTAATACTTATATCCCCGTCCCTTAGGCTAGATAACTGATCCCTAATGCCAGCAACACAATGAGCGGCGATGTTCGCTTTGGATTTTGGGCATTTCCACCTACGATTGAGACATAATAGGAAATAAAAAATAATAAAATAAATCATTGGATTTTAACATAATAGGAAATAAAAAATAATAAAATAAATCATTGGATTGAGACATAATAGAAAATAAAAAATAATAAAATAAATCATTGGATTGAGACATAATAGGAAATAAAAATTGATAAAATAAATCTATAATTACCTATTGCCTAATGGTGCGTCCGGCACCAAGTAACTCTCATCTTTAACCTTCCTCTTTGGTTGAAGTCTTGGGATACGCTCCCAAACCCATAACTGAAATTTTAAATCAAACAGAAAAGACACAAATTAGGAAAACAAACAAAAATATAATAAAAAAATATAAATAAACAAAGAAACAAAAAAATTCACCTACATCAGCATATAACATCCTGTAATGTCTTTTTTCCCGGGCGCGGAAGCTTGACACAGAGCAAAGTACAACTTCGCTAACACAGCTGACCCCCAACTGTAGGTAGCACAGACATCCAAATCCTCGAGTATTGCCAGGATCCAAAGTGCTATTCTGTTTCCCGTATTGTCAGAAATCAAGAAACCTCCAATCAGTAGGAATAGTAAAGCACGGGCCCTCTGTGTATAGGCCTCTCTTGGGGCATTTTCTGGGATCGGACGCAGACACTCGTTGATTAAACACTCTGCATAAATCTTATTCCCATCAAACATGTCACTAACGGGTGTAATTCCCAACAATCTAAAGCACATCGCCATCCACTGTGCCATAGAATTCTCAGGTGTCATCCCCTCCACAGGCTTACCATCCACTTTCAAACCTAATACACCTCAACGTCTTCTAGGATGATAGAGGCCTCGCCAAAATGAAAATGAAAGGTATGAGTTTCAGGCCTCCACCTCTCAACCATTGCGGTGATCAAACAATTTTCCGCTTGTATATAAACTAGTTGGATCACCCCCCCAAAGCCTGCCCGCTTTATCTCATCTATGACTTGTGGAGGGCAATGCCGGGATGGTTTCTCTATACAAGTCCAAAAATGACTATCAAATCTCCTACCTTTAAGGGCTTTACTAAAAGCCTCATGGTTCTCGAAAATGGCTTTCGCCCTATGATGGTCATATAGGTATAATAATGAGTCATCTATTAGAGCCGGATTAAAATGTTGCAGTGTAGGTTGCGAGGAACTCGAACCCTCCATTTTTTAATCCTATAATACCAAATACTATCAATACCAATACCATCAATACCATGTTCCATAACACACACACACACAGAGTCACAGGGAAACACACACACACACACAGGGAACACACACTGAGTCACATTCACACATTCACACAGTCACACACACACACACAGAGTGCCGGCAACACACACACACAGCCACACACACACATTCACATAGTCATGCACACACACAGAGTGCCGGCAACACACACACACAGTCACACATTCACACAGTCACGCACACACACAGAGTGCCGGCACACACAGAGTGCTGGCAACACACACACACAGTCACACATTCACACAGTCACGCACACGCACAGAGTGCCGGCAACACACACACACAGTCACACATTCACACAGTCACACACACACATTCACACAGTCACGGCAACACACACACACACACACTGAGTGCCGGCAACACACACACACACACACATTGCCGGCAACACACACACATGCCCTGTGGTAAGGAAACCCAGTCGCCGTAAACAAGATCGATAGCTTTTCTCCTTCCCTTCCATGCCCTGTGGTAAGGAACATCGGCATGCATACGGTCTTTCACTTCTTCCTGAACGAGATTCACTTCATAATCTGGGTCCAACTCAACCTTATGCCTTATGAGATGCGCAATAAGCATTGCGCTCACATTCCGATTATTGTTTTCCTCGGTGACATTCATACAATTGTGCTCGGGCACCCATTTCACAATCTCCCACAAACCGTGGTCTCTTAAGGAGGCACGTACCTTCCAACGGCAAGGAACATAACCCTTAGGGGTTGACTCTTTTAGGGATTTGCACCAAATATACCATGTTGAACCATCACTTTCCTTCACATAAAACTCTCTCTTTTGCTCTATGTTCCACGCTGCAATACCATTTTTTGCTTCTTCCTTATTCTTGAAACAAGTCCCTATCCCAATTGTTGCGGTTGTCCCGTCCTACACGGTAAGTTAAAAATCATCCTTGTCCACTTTAGTATGATCCCATGTACCCTGTGAACATTATATGTGCATATCCTTTGTGGCGAATTTGTCTTCGACCTCTTCATCACTCTCTCGACTTCCTTCGGATATTGATTGGTTTTCATCGCTTTGATCACTTATCAATGTGTAGTCCTCATCATCTTCACCGTGATTATATTCCATGTGATCGCCATCCTCCATAAACGGTCCGCCCACATCATCATCTTCCATGTAATCGACATTCTCCACATTCGGCCTACCTCTATTTGTCCCTACTTCCAAATGGGACCTAGAAGTACCCGCCACCTCCAAATCTATATACAAATCAATATATGTCGAACTTGGGAGGAAATACAACACTTGCAACGATGCGTCGTCCTTGATTTTGGCGATACGCCTAAAACCATTGCGCATCGTATCATACAAAATTGATAGACTCAAATTCACATTCTTTCTATTCCACCCCACTCTTTCACAAATCAGTCCAACCAAATCATTGTACAATAACTTATGATCAATCACAAAGGAATCGTCCGGCATGTTGTTAAAACTATTCACAATCCCATTCTTCACTACAAATTTGCTCGACCAATAGACATTAATGAAATATGGACCGTTAAACGCCATTTATATCTGTTGATTACATGAATTACAACACATCATGAACAAATTATTAAAAAAAATGACACAAACAAGGCATTACCAAACAACTTATTATAACAATTATCACAAACAAGGCATAATCAACACTAAATTTACTAAACCCCCTACAAATTCAAAAGTTTAGGCCAAATTCAAGCATTTTACTAAATTGAACGTTCAATACCACGTATACAACAACAATCATCAACTACACCCAACATCAACCCTAAAACGTTATAAATCATCCTAGTTCTAAACTTTTACAAAGAAAATAACAACAATAATTCTAAATACATCAAAACATTAACTAACCTTCTTATGAAATAGTTTTAAGACATCTGTTGCGAAGAATCGTGAACAAAATCTTCAAATCGCCACTAAAATTACCTCCTCCTTCAAGAAATAGCCTACTTTACCAAAAATCCCGATACGTGAACAGTGTTTTCCGTCGCCCCATTATAACACAAAAAGGTCGGATTTCTAAAATCCGATTTTATAAGTAAAATCGGATTTAGAAAATCTGATTTAACATTAAGGCCGGATTTCACGAATCCGACCTTCTGCCAGCTAATAACGTCCATTCAATGCCGATACCTACTGTTAGGTATGCTTAAATAAGGTCGGATTTTGTAAATCCGATCTTGTACTGTTCTTAATTTTCAAATCTCCCGCCTATATTTTTTAATGAAAATAAACAAGGTCGGATTCCTAAAATCCGACCTTTGACTGTTCATTATTTGACTTTCAATACATTTTTCTCACATATATTTTTCGGAAAAAAAAATTGTTATTTTATTAAATCGGATTCTTAAAATCCGAACTACTAATTTAATTAGTAGGTCGGATTTTGAGAATCCGGTCTTCACATTTTTCTTTATAAAAAAAAAAAATATAGATTTCTCTACTCCTTTTTCTAGTTGATTTTTTAACCAAAGCACCCGAAAAGAGAGACACTCCTTGGCAACCTTAAACCTACCTTCGGGAATATCTTCAACGGCATGCCCCATGCGGCCAAATACAACAATAAGAACTTCATTGTTTTCATCAATGTAGTTCAAACAACCATCATAGGACACAAAAGCAGCACTCTTCTATCTATTCTGCATCAGTCGAACACGTGCACACTTTCTAATTACAGAAGTTAGGCTGTTTGGCTTTAATACCAATCTTCTCCAAAACATTTGCTTTAGCACGAGATAAACCAACAAATAGTTTCTTCCATTCATTACCAAAATGAGACTTCTTGAAGATTTATCAACCTCTGATTTCTTCGGGCATGGACTCTACCAAGAAAGTTGGTCACAAAATTAATATGTCGACAGTATTCATTTTCATCAAAACTATTGTCCCTTTGATATTAATGATCTCTCTAAATTAAAATGGTATCTTTATTGTCGTCTCCACAAATGATTCCCAGGCACCATAAAGTCGGCAACCACCGCTGCTACCATCTACTGAAATTATTCTTCCTCTCTTTTTCATTTTTCTCAGTGATTCTCGACTCAAAACATAAGTAAAAAAAAAAAATCCCCATTCCCTATACATTAGCAATAGATATAATTAGCAAACGACCAACCAAATTTAGCATCGAGTACATACTCATAATCCAAATGCCAAACACGAAAAGATTACACCATTAATTACTCTACTCATTACGAATGTTATTATTCTTCCATCAATGATCAATGTCACCTCAAAAAATCAACAACAACAACAACAATAAGTTTTTTTCCCACTAGATTTGATTGGCTATATGGATCATATGTCATCGTGTGTCATCGTGTTTGGTCGGCTTCAAAAGAATCTATATTAATAAAGATAAACATTATTAAAATTAAAAAAAAAAAAGAAAAAGAAACAGAGGAGCCAAAAATCAACAAAAGCTACCCCCAATCATCAAAAACATAATCTTCACAATTAACGATCCTTAAATCCTACAGTAAACAACCATACAAAATTCCCATCTAGCAACCTCTTTTTGAAATTTTACCGCAAACAGCTATAACTCCGAAATCAATAAGCAGTATGGTGCTCCTTTCAGGAAGGAAGATTGGACTAATGAAGTTGTTGAAATAAATGAACTTGTTGACCATGGTGATTTGATTCCTATTGATGACCATGTTGATGAGATTCCTATTGATGAGGACCAAGTGAATCGCAAGCTGCAGCCATTAGGTGACCTTGAGGAGTTGATGAATAGAAATGTTAATGACCCTTTGCATGTGCTACCTTTGTCAATTGTTGACTATGGTTTTGTCGAAAAAACTCAAGCTCATATCATGTCTGGTACATCTCAGGTACATGAGCAAGATAATTATTCCTCAATATGCATCTCAGGTATATTGGCAAATCATAATTCTTCCTCAAGAGGCATCGGAAATGAGAACTCCTCCAAGGAGCTCTGATAACGTTAGAGACAATTTCTTAGAAGTCCAAGATTTGTTGGAGATGGAGGTGGTCAATGACGAGTCATAATTAAACCTTTACTCTAATAGTTTTGGGCCGGCTACTTTGGAGGTTAAGCAACTGCCTTATTTACAGTAAACTTAACCCGAGTATGAATCGCCTAAACAGGTAACACCACCTTTATATAAAGAGATGGTGCCTCTCCCACATGAGATATCTTCTACATATCTTTTATACCTTATACACACGCACAATTACCTCTCTCACTATTTTCTCTATTCCCTTATTGACTTAAGTATCGGAGAGTCTAATCTCGGGAGACCCCGAGGCTCTGTCTTGCAGGATTTAGGCAGCCTGCCGTTGCCTAGATCATCGTCGCCGCCCGTCATAAGCACCGTGCAGATTTCTCTCTTATATAAAGGGTGGCGTCTCCCTTATTTGGGACAAGTTCTCTCTGAGCAATACAATAATAATATTCTCTCTATTTTCTTACTTCTTCTAAATCTTAATTCTTGGTTGTTGACGCCCATCCTAAAGCACCGTACAAATTTCGACTTTGTCAAGTGGTACGTTCAGTGGGACCGATTTATTTGATCTTCACAATCAAATAAATTTCTTGGAAGGAAGCCGAAATTTATTGGTACTTTACGGTGATCATTGGGTTGACATGATCTGCAAATTCATGTGCGCGAAAGTCACAATCAAGATTTTGAAAATTCCAATCCGGCGACCGTCGACTTCAACGTTAAGCTCCTCCCCTCGACGATCAGATCGACGACATCGCTGTCAACTCTCAGGTCGAATTACTCCATCCGAGATCCGACGGACAGGTTGACGAAGACACTGTCGACTTTTATGCCGACAAAAGAAAGATTTCTCACTATAGAAACAAACAAAGGAGGCGGGGATTGAATCCAATCCATGGGGTGTGTAATAAGTTTTTTCCTCACCACTAGGTGGAGTTGTTTAATTTTTTACAAAAAAAAAAAAAAAATTATTTGTAATTTCGCACCCGAACTTGTCACCCTGGACATGCCTAAGATGGTTTATCTCACTGTGATTTGCACATGCCTATGATGGTTTACTTCTCACTGTGATTTATAAGTTATTGCAGTGAGCGTGAGTTTACCCATCTCTTATGAGGTTTTCGACGTTATAAAATAGTAGTGCTCGAACATTCGTCGCGCAATGCGCGCCGCACCGTATAAATAATCTTGCGTAACTAGAATATTCTTTGATTAACTTGGTTGTTTTTATTGTTTTGGACTAACTGAAATTGAAAAAAATTGTCATTGATAATCTTGAGTAATTTGTTTGTTCTTAAACTTTTTATAATATAACACAATGCCTATTGTTGGTACAAAAAATTTGATTTACCTTAACTAATAGAGTACCACCCTTACTCAAGCCAAAAAAAAAAAAAAACGAAGGTAAATTTCATTGGAGTACAGAATTCGGTTCTGCCTTTACAAAAGATCTTCTATTATATCGACTTTTCCAATTGTCAACGATGTACTAAAACTAAAATGGCAAACGCAAAAACACCTTTGCGAGACATTCACATAGATGAAGCATTTGTACACACCTAAACCTATGAGAGGAAAACAACGGGGGTTGTGGGTGGGTGATAAACTATCTGCATGTCTTAAAAACTGATACCTTGCAGAGAACAATGCAGAGAAAAGAGGCTGAATGGTTTGACGATATGGCAAGGCCATGCAGGTTATGAATGACTGGAGGTTCCTTTATTTTGGTATCGAGTCTTGCATGGAGATCAAAACTACCATCACTTCCGACTGTTAAACCTCATTGAATATATCATCTGTGAAATGCAAGAGCTGTATTTTTTTCCCAGATGATTTCTAATCTGAATGTGTGTTCTGCGCTTTGCTAGACTTACTCAAGAATATGACACCAACAACAATAAGCGTGGCACCAGCAAACCACTGCAAGAGACATTAAGCATGTAGAACATTAAAAGGTCATCAGCACTTATTATCATAGCAAAGGTTTGGGGCAGAGCAGCAGAGCCAAGTTTACAACATGAAAGAGAAATGATGTTCAAACAGATACAAAAGGATAACACATAATCCTACAGAAGTAAGATCAATAATGGTTAAAAAAAGAACCAACTCAAGTACCACATCTACCCAAACACGTGCAGAAGTTCAAAGAGCATAAAGTACGAAAATCTATCAAAAGCCAACATGAGTACCATAAGGATCCAACTCATTTGAAAGAAAAAATTAACATGTAAACAGGGCATGAAATACTTGATCAGGAAAACATAAATCTCCCCTAACAATTAACCAACAAGCATAGGCCATGGTAAATTGATAGAGATCTGTAAGCAGAGGCGTCACCATTGGATTGGCGGGTCTGTCGACAATACCTCGTTCCGATACATCAGGAACCGCTGCACCTCCATCTAAGCTGCGTTAGCCAATTGAAATAGGAAAAATGCATCAACACAACATTCAGCCCTTCGTTCCCAGTATGGATGTAAATACGCAAAATCATAAATTGGGATTATTGTAGAGACCAAAACAACATTCAGCCCAGTAAACAGCAACAATCCTGTCATTGGCCGTGTACGGTGGGGCAGTATCTTTTCTCTAATCAGAACAGCACCAAAAGGCCTTTTCTCATGGAAACTGAAAAGGTTGTCAAACAAGAAATTGGTTACGTGAGTTTTCTTGTCTAAAAATTTGGTGAAAAGGAACTGGGAGATTCCATGACTCCGTTCCACAAGTTTTCTTAAGCTAAGGGAATTGTTGTCTTTAGCAGGAAATCAAATATACACACACCAACATACACTAAAAATCAATAGAAACACACACCATTGGCTGAAAAACTATAATTAGGCAGTAATGTTGACAAATTATCAAGCTAAACTGCATAACCCACTAAAAATCCTCACCCAATTATATATCAAAAGGCTGCACCGACAACACGGAAAAAGAACAAATGCAAGAACGTATAAACAGTTAACATTTTGCAAAAAGTTCTGGTTAGGTTTGAACTTTTAAGGCGAATCTCTCAACATAATATATCTATCTGTATCTAAACAATAGATAAAACAACCTGATTTCTATCGGAATCAGTAATTGAACTTGTTAATTACCTTCAATCTTCTTGAATGCACTCTTTTCCAATGCTTCTTATTAATCTAAACTTTTCTTCACCAGGCATCATCCTATTATTACGAAGAGATTGAAAAAATAATTAGGACAACAAAAACCCTGAATTTCAATGAACGAAACAACAGAAAACCAAAATAAAAGGAGCTGCACAAGGTGCGGCACAAAGGGTATAATTATCCCGAATTCAAACAAGCATGGACTCATTCTTTATCTCACATGTTAATGTTATCATTTATCTAACGAAGATGTATACAAAGAAGCATAAATAAAAAGGAAAAACACCAACCTGGAATAAGAGGCCTTCAAAGCCAAATTTAGCAAGGAACTCAAGGAAGATTATAATCATATCAACACCAAACAAAGGGATTCTGCGTGTGGAGCAACACCAAACAAAAAGCGAATGAATTTTTCTGTTTCCTTCACCAAACAAACAGCTCAATCAACAGCCTGCTTCTTATTTTCTTCTCATGGCCAGAAATAAAATCGAACAACGCAGCAAGGAACTTACCTGTATCGAACGAATTTGAAGGTATAATTCTGGAAACGCATGTTTGTCGACAGATTCTTTTTTGCTTTTCTTGGAGCCAAATTTGTATGCTTATAACATTCCATTATTATATTATTAACCAGGACACAAAAACAGAAACAACACACATCGAAGCCAAGAATACCTGTTGTCGAATGTCATCAGCTGAATCTTGCACCACTATGCCACGCTAAGCCACACTCCGCACAGTCTTCACGAAGTTGAGCCTCTGATGAAGAATCCATACCCACCGATTAATTAATATATTGTCATTCTTTAAACTATACACAGACGACAATTGACCAATGGAGAAACCATCAATACCAAAAAATCGTAACATATCATAGACCTAAAATCAAATATTTTAAAATCAAATAACATCAAATTCAAATCGTTTAGCACCACAAAATCAAATTCGTGAACTCTGATGCTTCAGTAGAATCGTTATATTGCAGAAGGAAAAAACTGAAGCTAAAGCCTAAAAACCTAATACCTAATTGATAATACTCATCACTCATAAGATGACACAATCTGTATTGCAAATAATACCTTTTTTCCGGCTAACAAGCAGAGGTTAATCAAATCGTTCAAGGAAAAAAGAACGGAAAAAAAAAGATAACATGCTTTTAATCACCAAAACATTAAAAAAACATGTTATGCTTTCATGAATCAGTGTCAACGTACAATATTGTTAAAAAAAAGGGCAACAAACAGAGAATAAGCTTTAATAACTCTTACCTTGATGCAGTAATAGAATTGAATTGCTTGACGTTGTTGTGTGAAGCTGTTCGGGAGGAATAGTGATTATGGGGTTGTCTCTGTATTTATAGAGGGTGAGAAGATAGCCGAATTTTCTGGTAATCCGTATGCTAAATGAATTCGAAAATAAATTTTTTTGGAGATTATGGAACAAGAAATTACCTTTTGATTCCCGTTGGGTTTCGGACTGTTGAAGGCAAGGAACAAATTTGGCAAGGCGTCATCTTCTGGAATATTCGGCGGCCATGGTCTGATTTGGGGAGGAAATCGGCGGCCATGGTTTGAGTTGGGTAGGGAGAGAACCATATTTTGGGTAATTTAGGGTTCAGGGAAGACAGGAGGGGTTGGGGGCGGATTTGAGGAGGAAATCGGCGGCAATTGGGGAGGAGGAGAACCAAATTTGGGCAATTTAGGATTAATGGACGACGGGAGGGGATGGGGGGATAGGGTTTGAGGGGTAAGTTTTTTTTGCAGATATGCCCCCTTCCGAACTACGTCGTTTTGGAAAGGGGCTTTTGGAAAAGATTTGTTTTTTGCAGATTAGGCCTCCTTCGAAATTTGTTTTTTTGCAGATATGCCCCCTTCAAAACTACATCGTTTTGAGAAAGGGGTTATGGTGAAAGTTCAGTTTTTTTTTTTTATTTATACCTAAAGACACTTTCATCCCCAATTAAAAACATGATGTGACCGTAATGTAAGAAATATGTTACATGACGGTCAATCAGATTACAAGAAACTATTTATCAAGTGTGACTCTTATATTAGCTAAGCTTATAGAAAATTGCTAATGGTTCAAACAAATGGAGCCCCCACGAAGACTCCATTTTGCCTTAAAAATAAACTGTTGATGGACATAATCATCCGGTTAAACTGAAAAACGTAAAAGAAAAGAGAGGAAAAAACAAAAAAAAAAAAAGAACGAAAAGAAAATCGACGAATTAGAATCACCTGAAATGTCCTACCAAACACGTTCTCTTATCAAGTGATTAAAACAAGTAATTTTAGCTACATAACTTTTCCATTCTAAGATAATCGTTTTCATTGTTACACTAAATATGTAATACAATAAACAAGACATATTGGGACGGAATGAGTAACATTTTTTTATGTGTAATGGGAACTAATGGACCTCGTATAAACATCATCACCTAAATCTCAGTCTGAAACTAGGCAGACAACAATATTCTAGATTTCACCTTTCACTTTGACCAGCCAGAGAGTAATTTATACAATCAACTAACTTTCTTTGGACGAAGTTTAGTCATATATTCCAAAACCGATCTCCTTGGGAGCTGTTTCTACCATCCACGGAGCCCTGTCGAATGATTACATAAATCTGGTTTTAGAAAAAAAAAAAATGGTAACCAAAAGTGATATGGAAACAAATTCAACCACGACGTATTGTATACTTGTTCATGACAAAGTTGAAGGTTCCTTGTGTGGCTCGTTTGAGGAGGGTTTCCCTTGCCTCAATAGCAATTCCTTCAGGCTACAAATAGCAATATAGCATTTATAATCAATGATGGGAAACATGAAAACTAAATTCATAAAAGAGCTTAAAATGACACCTCTTCCGGAAACCAAACACCAGGCTTTGTGCTTCCTTCAAGGACCGCAAGCACAAATGCAGCTGTAGCATTTCCAACAGATCTGCAAGATGCATTCAAACTCACAGTTAAAAGATGATCAACTTCTTGAAACACTAATGCCTAGTCAAATCTATGGTCAGCTGAAATATTTTGTGCACTAATCTGCCAGTTTGATGCTGCAGACTTGCTGAAGCATCATGAGGACTTAAACAGATATTACTACGCTATGTGTGATGCACAATAACAGCTCATCGCATTCAAACAGAATGGTCTTCGGTGGTAATTTCAACATCTCTATGGACCTCCCTTTGATTATCAATCCCCTTTGTCACGAGATTTCTTAAGGAATTGCTATACTCTAATTATAGTTTCCATTCACTTCTACATTTTTCTCTGTAAACTTTGCTATTTTATAATCACTGTCACAGGATTATTGTCCAGTTTGGGATTTCACTTTTAGTGCAATTTGTACTAAAACTGAAATCGAAGCTGGACAATAATTTCGGGACAGAGGGAGCATTTTTTTGGGTGGAAATGTAAATATATTAAGGATCAGGCTTTCTGCACAAATTTACAACCAAAAATTGACTCTGTTTTCAACCAAAGGCTAAGCTATGCAAGACAAAATTTACTCAAAAGTTGGTTTTCCCTGGTTGATAAGTACTTCGCGCAGCAAATACCTATTTTATGGTTCTCAGAATGGCTTCCGGTTGTAGACTTTGATTTATCTTTTACGTTTGGTTCATTGAATTTGTCTGGGAAAGCTTGTACTTCAATGTCCAAATTACTAAAGAGATGTTTCTGCTTATCAATAAAGGTCTACAGCCGCTAATCTCTAAACCTCACATTGCACAACTTCCTCCACACACTGAATGAGAAACCTAAAACAGAAGAAAGAGAAAGACATGAGAAACTCACTTCGAGAGTTGTCTATGGCTGAAGATACCAATTCTATGATGTCCATCGGAACATTCCAGATCAACCTGATGAGAAAAGAGAAACCAATATGCCATCAAATGAATGCATGTCAACCGCGTAAGCTCTGCAAGAAATCTCCTCAATTATGATGCCAAAAATCAAACCACAATTACCATACAAGACAGCGAATTAGTAATATTTAATTAAAATTGATAGATTACCCGCATTGAGACTTTTTCTCCAGAAAAACCATCAACTACACGAACTAGTGGATCAAATAGCTGTACCAACTGTCCAACTTTGCTTCTGTCTCTCAAAAAGTCCTGCGATTTGGAATGGTGTGTATAAGAATACATATTCATGAATTCAGAACTTTTCGTTGATATATTAACTGCACTTAGCTTTAAGATAATAAATTTCTTAACCATTACAGATATTAAGATGTAGAAGAGTTTTAGGGGAACAAAAAAACTATTTTCAAGTGAAATGGTTATCACTTCTGAGGAATTGATTTTAGCAAATGAATCAATTTCATAAAAAGAAATAAAACTTTTAAATTTGAAGGTAAATTTCAACATTAAAAAGAATGGATGGCTGATTTAAAATTCTCAAACATGTTAAAAAGCTATTTCCGAAATCAAGCCTCCAAATGCATGAAATTGAGATAAAGGAAATTAACAGGCTCACTCAAAGTTGACAAATGGAGATGCAGAAAGGAGAGAGATTTTGTGTACACGAATTTAGACAGTCAACATAATCGACTTCCTAAAATCAAGCCACCACCAATTCCTAGCATCAGATAATCACAAGAGTAGATATTTTAGCATGCTAGCCTGCTAGGAGTATAGAAAAGATTAGGTTTCATACAGCAGGAAGCAGTTTAGTCATGGCTACCATTCCCCAGTTCCAAAAGAATGGTGAAGTTCCAAAGCGAGCACTGACAGTTGGTAGTCCAAGGATATCATGAGAACTTCGCACCTCTGGCAGATTTCTGAAAGAAATCAAGAGGAAAGTATTATTAACTAGGGTTGAAGACCATCAAAGAAGCAACAGCTAGCAGCATAGAAAATTTCAATTTCTATATTTGTGGGTCTGCAAGTTCATCTCCCCCATTACGTAGTTTAGGCTCTACAAAAAGCTACAGCTTGAGAAAGGGACATAACCGGAAATATAATCACTACTTACGATGGAATGAAATATAGATTAAGACTTTTACAAGCCCGTCAAATATGCATTGTAACTTTAACAGGAATGAGATTAGATCAAGACATTCACAAATCCATCAAACTTAAACATCCTAATTGAATAATTTCATATTTTTAAAAGAAAAAAGAATGAAACTTTCCCCTCCATGATCCATAGTCATAAATGCTCAGTCAGTTTAAAAATTGTTGAACACTCACAAGAGGAAAACGTCTTTTTTCCCAATTCCTTGGCCAAAGTTAATGTTGAGCATTCCACTGTAAGGCTTTAATCTCACTTCAACACCTGACAACCACATCCGAGGTTTCACATAGATTCTAAATGATGCATAGTCGAACCAAAAGAAGAGAATAATTTTGCATCTCTGAATCAGACCTTTACTGTATGCAACCACCTCTTCTCCGAGGAGTAAAAAACTGGTGGCTAATATAGTAGGGCCAGCACCACCAGAACCAGCTGTATAGTAGTAATATCTGCAAAAGTGCCGGTTGAGTTAGTACCAGTGCACTGCAGTAAATCGGATATCCTTGCTGATCAACTGAAACATATATGATAGCTCATCACAATCCCCGCCTTATCTCATGCTAAATGTAGTACTCTAATTGTGTAGTTACTGTAGTTTCATGCATAAAGCAGAGTTAATTCAAATAGATATCCTATGGTGGTTTAGTGGATTTACTGCGGTGGTTTAGTGGACTTGCATCATTAGAAACCAACTTAACTCCCTCACCACAAATGTTAATTGGGTTTGAGAAACAGCAAGTTGCACGACTTGATGACAATGAAACTTAATGATGAAAGTAGTGACAAACTCGACCATGGAGTCTATGCAGCTATCCTAATTATGGAGGAAGATCCAGCCAAAGCTTGCTCCTTCGAAAGAGATCCACTAATGCATGGCCAATCACAAAGGAAGGTCCAAGAAGATAAAAGAAACATTGTCTTGTTTACATAATGAGATTAGAGCTACAGAGACGACTACAGTTGAACTATAATCATTTGTGTGTTGATTGTGTTAAATAGATGGATCAACGCCCACATGGAGAGAACTTAACAACCACAGCTCTTGCAGTTAAGTTGATAATTGGATACTACGCTTCAGATCAATAACTTACAATCTACTTGGTTGGATTGAGATAAAGACTTCAATAAGGAAGGATAACTTCGAATACCTATTAGTCATCTTTTCAAATGATCTCTGATGTACTATCATTATTTTCTTTTGCTCTTCGATGTTGGTGACTTTAATGGTGTTTACTAAAATAGCATTCTATCTATTTAGTTTTAGCCCTGCTTGGAAAAACATTTAGTTCTAACTCCTATTACCAAGTTTCAAATTTGACTTTAACCCCATTTACCCATTCTGTAGTGCCATCCACTTGTACTACATCTTCTACAAGTTTAATATATCCGGCGTAATTTTTGCAGAAGATTAGAATTTCATTAATTGTCAAGGTAAAAAGTGAGAAATTACTGTGTGTGTGTGTGTGTTTAATTTATAATTTCACTTTGACCTAATTCATCCGGTGTGACTTCGTGAAATTTGGACATCATCAAATGAGTTAAGAATAATCGATCTTTGATTACTTTTCTGTCAACAAAGAAATGTCCAGTTTCATCTTTTATACATTAATTTGTTTTAAATCCCTTGTTTTCTTTTCTTTTAAATCTTGATTTTTGTTTCTTCTCACTCCTGGTGTATAATCTTTTATAGTAGAAGTTTTCAAAAGCTTTGCCATTTCACTTGTGTATAACTTTTTTGCAGTTCTTTTTAGCATTTTTATAGTTTTCATTATTTGATTGCTTCTACAAGTGTTCAATACTATTATTCAAATAGCCAAATAAACATCAGGTTTTTCATAATTTGAACAACTATGTAAGAAGCTTAAACTATGTACAAGTGATAGTAACAAGCTAACTAGAAGAATTTCATAACGTGTCACCAGGAAGCATAGAATTCAAGAGAAAGTAAGGATCTCAAAAGAGAAGCTTAGTATATACTGAATTATAAGTAATACCAAAAGAGAGAGAGAGGCTAGGGACTTGCTTATTATATGAAATGGAGGGACTTGCTTCAAATCTTACAGCAGATTGAGATGATAAAACATGACATATGCTAAAAGAATCAGGAAAGAATACCTCAGTCTCTCTGGTTGACCTTTCGTTTCACCTTTCGCTGCACGAACTAGTTCAGCTGCCATCACTGGCCAGTTGTGGAATATCAATACCATTTTTTTATTTTAAAGCCGTAAAACTTAGCAACATGTTTTTCACTTTCCAGGAATTTCATTGGTATCCATTCATGAGCAAACATCAAAATATACAAATTATTTCAATCAGACCCCAAATAACAAAATATCTGAGAACAGATATACTTCTTGTTCAGAAGAAAAAACAGTTGTTAAGTTGAGAAGGGCTACACAGCAACATCTTAATTTTCGGGCATGCGCATATTTTATCTTTCATTCCACCGGTATACAAATATTTACATCTATACTTCAATTAATAAGTGGTGGGTCTTTGGAGTTGAATGGGCACACGAGCAACTCTTCATTTACCAACCAGTGAAATCAAAGGGTATCCTCATATATCAAGCATATATTACGTGTATAAACACAAGAAATTCAACCATGTTGAGCAGAATTGTCGTACCAAATGTATTTAGAATGGACAAGGTCTATAATCTTGAGCAGTAGGCAAGTTGAAATAACAGCTGAGTAATCTTGGTGTTGGCTAGTGGCTAAAACATATAGAGAACGAACTGTTAAAGTGGAGAGCAACTTCTATCGGGAAGAAAACACAAGGATTATTAAAAATTTGCCTGGATGACTTTGGGTTACTCTCCGTAGTGGAGAAAAGCATCATTAAGTTGTTGTGGTCAAATTGGCCGGCGCATTTTTTCCAGTATCACAAGAGAAATTCTCTTTGTAGGGAACTCAGTGGAATGAAAATGAAAAATCAATAGGTAACATATAATTGAATTTAACAATTTCAAAATCATTGGGGGAATGGAGGAAAGTAAAAATACAAATATGGGGGAAACGGTTAAAAATGTAGAAAAAAGCAGCATTTAGGCATGTTAGAATGATAGGAAATAAACATTCTGCAGGCATTGTTTTAATGACATGCCTTCGAAATGAAATAAAAAAATTCATAATTTGGCAACTAATATTTAAATATATGATGCAAAAAAATTACTCTATGAATCACAAAGTTGGCAACTGAATAGGATGAGACTGCATTAAGAATCTTAAGATAAAGCTGAGAAGCATGCAAGAAATAGACAAGTGGATGTAACTGAGAAAAACAAACATGATGTGATGTGGATTTCCGCATAAAAGACCTTTGATGCACTGGTACTTGTCTAGAAATTAGAAATTCTGAATTAAATACCAAGCAGAAGAGGGAGAGACCAAAAAGGACACGGACAAATTAAAAAAAAAAGATTTACTTGAGTTGACATGAGAATGTCATTTGATGAAACACGAACACACAATGAAGCCATATATCCATATATCTGACCACATATTGTCGACTAAAAACTTCGTTTACCACTGTAAACTTTAACCTCCTCAATAGGAGGAACAATTTAAACATTGAGAGAAAGACTGAACCTCACTCAAGCTTAAATTTGGTTTTACCAACTAACAAAAGCAGCAAATTCTTTTTTTTTTTTTTTTGTAGTGTTGCAAGTCACACAGTATGATAAGCAAAACTAAATGTTACCGTTGCTTACTCCAGGATAGATTCCAGCAGTTGTTATGGCAGGAATGCCTGCAGAGGCTGCTTTATCCATGTAAGATTTGGCACGGTAAGCGTAGCTTGTGTCATCACACACATCAACATATGCGGTCTGTAGGATCAGTAGAGTGATAAATTTATTATACCAGTTATCATAGGGGAAAGAAAAAGACTTGAGACCGCAATAGGACTTTTGAGTGCTCAAAGAAAGTAGCTGTCAAAGTATAGGAGCCATGTTGTTTACCTCTCTCTCACCTTGGTCTGAATGGCAGCTTCAAGGACAGCACATTTCTGAGCCTGTTGAAATGGGCCTGCACAATGAACTACAAGATCCACATCTGCAAATGACAAAGTCAAACACATTATCATATCATGAACAAGAATAGACCTATCAACCACCAAATTATTCTGCACCGTGTATGCAATATCTTACTGCTCCTTCAGTAAAAGTGATGCAGGATATCGAGCCAATACAGACGAGAAGAACAAGTGAAGAGAGAGAGAGAGAGAGAGAGAGCAGGGGAGAGAGAGAGAGAGAGAGAGAGAGAGTATTACAGAGATGCTCGATTAAAAGAAAATGTGGCTTATTAGCCAACATTTTCTAGATCTGTAAAGAGGAGAAGATGCCTTGTGGACAAACAAATAACGTTCTTAAAATCAACTCCTAGTCGTGAAGAATATATGGAACGAAGTCCCTGACTTAAATACTATGAAGATTTGGAGGACAATTTTTGTATGGCTACTAACAGGCGGCTCCTTCAGGTCGTCCACGTCAATGATTTGATGAAAAAGATTTAAATATAAAAGCTAAAAACTTGAAATCAAAAAGATTAAAGTATAATATACATTCTTAAATACAAATTCTGGTATCATTAGAATCAGAAAATAAACAGCAAAAGAATGCTATTGTTCTTAAATGTAGAGCGGCTACATTTCTTTTGTAACAACAGACACCATAACTGATTTAGACTACCTACAGTCATAGGCAAAGAAGGTCTCTATACACTTCCAAATCAGTACATATAAATCAATTAACGGTTCCAGGTTATATGGACACTAAAGAGAGGACTCACCAATCAAGGCTTCATGCAACATATTGAAGTCATCAATGTTGATTGCAGTAAACTTTGAACTGTCCCCCAGTTTATCTACCATTGCAGAACCTCTTTCCCTGTACAAAAAAATTCGAACCAAAATATGCAAGCAACGAGAATGGGACTAACTTCAATTTATCAATTTTAACATAAAACCAAGCAAGAGTTTCCCTAAAGAAAGCTTAAGGAATACATATGCCTGCTATGTTTGGTGCTACTAAAGGAGGTAAGGGAGTTAATTTTCTCACCAGGTTCAAGGCATAAAGTTACAATGGGCCAGAAACCTACTGCTCACGCTTTCAGGTCAAAGTTAGCAAGTTGCAGTTGTAAGAATGACCACAAAATGCAAAATGGTTTTGGTCCAAGGTTAAAGTCAAGTGTGGGAGGGAATGTCATAGAACAGATTTTAATATTCGATATCAATGCTTGACATCATCTGTTGGAATGTGTAACAGCAAAATTCCAATTTCCTTGAAAAGACTGATACTTCGATCAAATCGACATCACCAACAACAACAATTGAACCTTTGTCACGGTTTTGTAGGATCGACTACGTGGACAGTAACATAGCCCTATCATCCTCATTCGAAATACACATCTTCACTTAAACTCAAATCTATCATGTTCTTTAACTAGTTTCATTTCCAATTTCTGTTAATTTCCTTCCCCTTCAAATTTGAGTTAAACTTCCCTTTTCTACTGAATCTTCTGTGAATACCCAAATACAACTACTTAAACAGTTCGCATTTCACGCCCGCACTCTTCATCTCTACAGCATTACCATTTCAGTGCATGATGATGGCAATTAATTAACCAAAAAAAAAAAAAAGAAGCCGTAAACAACTAGAAGCCGTTTTCTTCCTTACTTGTTTCGACCAGCAATGATGATTTGCAGTTGAGGGCAGAGCTTAGAGAGGGCAATGGCTGTAGAACCACCGACTCTTCCGGTGCCTCCGAGTACCAGAACTCTAGAATTCTTCTTGTCTTTGGGAGATTGAAGCTCAAGATTGATGGTGGTTTCCGGATTACGAGTGATGGTAGCTCTGATTTTGAGTACCCGAGAAGTATATTTGAAATGAGGGCAGCAAAATGGACTCATCGTCGTCATCATCATCATCATCTCTCTCGCACCAACACACATTTTCAGTTTTCCCCTGTTCTTCTATCCTGCTACAATGCCATAACAGTGTGTTATTCCTTTCTTTTTGTATTTTGGCTTTTTCTTTTCTGCTATGGCATTTTAAGAACGTGGACATATATCTGACCTATCAGTTTCGAGTTAGGAACAAGGAAAATTTTTAGTATTATCTTTATTTCGTTCTTCCTTTTTCTTTTTTTTTTTTCATTACTATTTACAATTATAAAAATTAATCATCTACAATCGTTTAGACATTTTTTCCCCTGAGTACTACAAAAAGTACTAAAACACAGTTTAAAATCATTTCTTTCTCTTCTTCTTCAACTCTCAAAGAAAAAAAACCAAAAAAATTATAATGTCAAACTCAGATCTACAATAATTTAGAGTTTTAAAAAATGGCGAAACAAAAGAATCAAGCACCGGAAGACTCGGTCTTAAATTTGTTATGTTTTTTTTGCCAAAATTCATTATATATTATGAAAAATTAAAAAAAAAAAAAAAACCGTTCTGCTCAAGAGTAGCCGGCTATAAACCGGATATCCCTTTAGAGCTAGCCGGGTCAAAACCGGCTAGCTAAGCTCAAGGAGAAGATCAGGGACCGGCTACTTGTTAAAGGGTAGCCGAGAACGTCGGCTACTTGTAAAAGAACTTTTTTGTACTACAATGTTGCCCCTTCAGGCTCGCGACAGCGCCACATGACCTACTCGTGAGATTGTGCTTGTTCACCTTGAACATGCTCACCACTACATTTGTGCTGAGTTAGGTGGTGATTTCCCTGTACCTTGTATACATCCACATTGGTATGACTTTGTCGATAACAGTGTTGTTAGATGGAATAGTATGTATCAGGATAGGATAGCAGAGTGGAACTACCTATGTCCATTTACTCAGTAGCTGGCTTTGCCATCAAAAGAATTTGTTTTAATTTGCTAAATCTAGTTATTTAAATTTTATTTGTTTCAGAGCAAATGACTTGATGACTTAGAAATCCAATAAGTAACACATAATATCCTAATTAAACACACTCCACTTTGTCAAATAAAAAAATCCAATAAGTAACACAAAATATCCTAATTAAACACACTCCACTTTGTCAAATACACATCAATAGCTCGAATGAAAATCCTAGGTGAATTGAGCAAACAAGGCTTGATGTTCCCTTGCAGTCTTCGGATCCCATCTGCGCAATTCGCCTAGTGTGTCTCCATTTAACACAGACAATCGATTGATCCACTACACATAAAAATAAGAAAATATAATTAATATTATATTTAACAAATCGTAACTAAATTTAGTAATCTTATAATAGACAAAGTCTTACGTGAGATATGTTTCCAACTCCAGCTCTCGAAGTCCCAACAGCAGCGCGATCCAAAACAAGCAGAGGATGCGAAACTCGAATGTACCAATTCAGGTAACCATCTATGCATGCAGTCTCATCTGTATCACTCAGTTGTAATTCACCTAGATCGAGCTTGCTACTTAACGGGAATTGAGCCCAAGCATCTAACACAATAGTGCGTGACCATATAACCTTGTACAGCTTGGATTTACTACTACGAACCACATCCGAGGGACTCGGGATAGGTGGAGGAATGGTCTGGAAGTACCCAATCTGGTGCAATACTCGTGCAGGTAAGTATGACTCAATAATATCTCAGTACTGTATCCAACCATTGAACATAGTCCTCGGATCATGGGCAACAGGCTCGAGTTCATAAGGCAACCATGTCACTGACACACAAAACATAAGAAATGTTAACAACGATATTTTCCATAATACTTCAAAATCAAGAATGCTAAATGTGACATATATCAGCGGCTGTCAGGTCGTCGATCTCCCGCCGAAACTTCTTCAGACGCTCTGCACTATTATCAGGATCTGGGACATCCCACCATCCAGCTCGGGGAATTGCAGGATCCCCTGAGGCACGGTCCACACCTGGTCTGAAGCGTGGAAAGTATTCATATATCCACGCCTGAATGAGTGTAAAGCACCCGGACATTGAGGCATTTTATGCTCTGGTGGACAAGCCAAGCTGGCGATAAAGATAGGCTAGAGTAGCAGAGTCCCATAAGATTTTGTGACAAGTGGCTAGGTCATCAATAATCTCTAAGAGAATCGCCACTCTAATCCGAGCCCAGCTCCTATCCGTAAACAACGTGTTCCTTAACATGAGCCATAACTAGGCAATCATCCTTCCCCTGAATCCCCCACTCTAATATCCTTTACTAGCGATTAGATCTTCAATAGGCAATAACAACATCCTCATGGCCAAATTATGACAATCACTAACCTCAGACTGTGTTGTAATCAATCTACCATCAATGGAATGCCCAATATCCGTCGCACATCGTGCAACATAATGGTCATCTCTCCAAAAGGCATGTGGAACGTGTTGGTGTCTGGCTGCCACCTCTCCACAAATGTTGTAATGAGTGTCTTATCAATATTGTTGTGCATGATGTCCCCAATGTGGGACAACCCTGTATGCTCCAACAAGTTCTTCCTCTCTCGCACCATACTAACTTTCCAATCTTTCATTTTCTTGAAATATGTGATTCTTGTATCCATTTGTAAGGGGCTTTTACATGAGTCTTCTGTTAAGAGAGTGGCCACATGCCCAAGAAAATTAGGAATAACAGAACCGTTCTGAGGGCCACCCCTAACTGGCCCCGTCAAAATCCAATTGCCGGCACTGCTCACTGAAATTATTATAAATAAATCATACATTTTTTTTCCAAAATATTTGAAAAAAAATTATAATTTATTTTAAAAAATAAATATTATACCTGATGATGATGATGATGCAGCAGCAGACTCACTGCCGCCATGACGAATAATAAGGCGTGGTCTAACTACAGGGGGAGGTCTAACTGGAGGTGGAGATGGAGGTGTGTCATTTTCGAACTGATCATACCCATCTGAGTCGAAATTTTCAAATGGAACATTTTCTTCGTCATTGACATTCTCCAAGTCCATACTAGCCTGATCAAATATCTCGTCAAATCTCCGTGGACCAAACCCAACCATCAATATAGAATAAAGTACCATTAGTCTTTTCGGTCTTTTTTCTTTAATCTACATTGATTAATATATAACTACACCATTACAATAATTCACGTAAAACTTAATATAACACATAAGTTAAACATATGGTCAAATAATCAAATAATTATAACATCTTTAAATTATAATCTATTTAAATTATTGCTATTTATAATACATAAATTAAAAGATACCATAATTATTTAAAATATAACAACTAATTACTTAAAATTACGATCAAATAATCAACTAATTACTTAAAACTACGAAAATTTTAATAATAAAAAATTAATTAAAACATGCCTAACTAAAATATAACAACGATTTATTTAAGTCTATGATTAAATAATTATAAAATATCTCATTAATTAATACATAACAAAATATAATTAAAATTATATTATTTTTAAAATTCTAATTTATACTTCTTATTCAAATTTATTTAAATTAAAATAACATGAACACCAATAAATAAAATATAATCAATAATAGATAGCAAAATATAATCAAAACTAATTATTGAAAAATATAATAAATAAATAATTAAATAAAAAAATAATAACAAACACAATAAATAAAAAAAATAAAAAGAATTGGGATCGGCTACCGTGGGGAAGGTAGCCGATACGAGACCGGCTACCTTTGAATGAGTAGCCGGATCTAAATCGGCTACTCTTCAAAAGGTAGCTGGTCTTGGATCGGCTACCTTCCCCCTGGGTAGCCGATCCCGCGGGGATTGCTCGACAAGAGATAGCCGGTTCACAGTCGGCTACCCAATTTTAGAATTCTTTTTTTTTTTTGAATTTTTTTCTAACAATTTTGATTAAAAAAAAAAAAACTTACCAGTGCAGAGGGCGAGCTTCCGCGACAGTGTTTGTTCCGATCCGTAACTTTTTTAGCTCCCGGATCTTTGTAGATTTAAGTTTAAATGATGGGTTTTTGGGCTTGAATTTGAAGAAGAAGAAAGGAAAAGAAGGAGGAAGGATGAAGAGGAGGAAGGAAGGGTAAGAAAATGAGAGAGAAGGGTAAAAATGTCCAGTCAACTATAAATGAATAATTTTTTCAAGTGCAAAAAGCAAGAATTTTTTCCTTAAATATATGTAAAAAAAAAAACCTAGACAAAAATAAAACTTTTTAAAACCTTGTGGACAAATTTATATGCCCCGGATTTAGGAAATCCGAATGGGGAGAAAACTCGGATTTCGGAAATCCGACCCCAACTAAACTCGGATTATTAAAATCCGACTTTGTATTACGTAAATCTGAAATTAAGTTAATGACAAAAATTAGTGTAATTAATCTAAATCCGGATTTTATAAATCCGATTTTATGAATAAAATATTAATTTCGGATACTATAAAAAATGTGTTGAAAAATTAAATTGGGCGAACTCGGATTACGAAATCCGAATCTGCTCTATTTTCGAAAAATGGTGACTCCTAGTTGGCCACGGACTCGGATTTCGAAATCCGAATCCTTTAGAAAAGTCCAGGTTCGGATTTCGCAAATCCGAGTCTTTGTCGAACGAAAAAAATTGGGTGATTTTCACCAGTCCTAAACATGTTTACAAGACCAACAACAATGAAACATTGGAAAATAGGAATTTAATAACAACAAAACAATAAACGGCATTCGATTAACAACAAAATAAATCAAGTTTCATAAAAGTTCAATACAAAAACTACAATAAATGTCCAAAATAATGAAATGTCTCATTTTTCCCTTTTCCTTTATTGTGCGCATCCGAGTGTATTTGTTTGGGCCTGTCGGATCCTGTCTCCCCTCTTAAGATATGTGAGTATTGAACTTTGGTGTGGTTGCGATTGTCCACCAAACCGAGCCTCGATTTGGGGTTGAGATTGGGACTCCCATGGTGATAAATTTGACTCCGGTTGTGGTTGCGATCGTCCACCAAACCGAGTCTCAGTCCACCGATGTCAAGCGAGTCTCGGGT